CATAAGTTGCAGCAACAGTTTCCCTAAAACTCGTCTAAGGAAATATTTTTATGTACCGTAATTTCCGGACTATAGAGCGCACCTCAATATAAGCCGCACCAACAAAAAAAAAAAAGGTTTTCTACGCACACACGCTGCACTCAAATACAAGCCGCGGCGCAGCAGCCACACGCAGGTCTCCGGCACACAGCGCATGTATGGCCATAACATAAGATAATTAGACAGAAAGATGCTACACGGAGGTTTTTCGTTGTTGTTTCAATTCAACAAAACGGATTTTAAACACGGGTGAACGTGCCCGCAAGTTTATAAAAGAAAACAGCACTGATAGCATTCATATTTCTGGATGGTTATCAAATAAAAACAGCACTGACACGTTATTACCGGTAATTTGCATGCATGTTTAGAAGAAAAGAACAGCACTGACACAGCATTAATAAGCCCTGGATGATTAGAAAATAAAACTGTACACAAAACATGCCTGGTTAGTAAATAAAACACACTTTCCTACCAGAAAAAGTAATTCGCTCTCATCTTCCTCTTGCGCACTAAAGCCATTAAAGTCATCTTCTTCAGTGTCGGAGTTGAACAGCCTCAGAAGAGCTTCGTCACAAACCTTTTCTGTGGCGATATCAGTGTTGCTGTCATCATCCCCGGGTGAAGCTGGCTTGAATGAGTTCTTCCCGCTGCCGTCTCCAGCGCCGAACCATGGATTCATTCATGCCAAGCTTACGTGCGGCGGCGCTGTTTCCCTCCTTTACTGCCAGATCGATGGCCTTCAACTTAAATATGGCATCATATGAACTCATACGTGTAGTTACCATGATGAGGGGGTATGGATTTGAAAAAAATTCGTCGTGCCAGCTGCTTGCATGTGCTAAATTAAAATGAGCACTTTCTTCGATTTCCACTTTTGACTTCCACCTGTTTCACTTTCTGCTAAAGCGCCCCCTGCAGGTGAAGGAAAATCTTCAGTAAAGCCGCACCTCATTATGAGCTGCATGGTTCAAAGCGTGGGAAAAAAGTAGCGGCTTATAGTCTGGAAAATACGGTACACATCACAAGCAGGTAATTTTATGTATGATGCAGTGAATTTAGGTCTGTTCATTTAACATTAAATACTGAAAAATTAAAAAGCAACATAACTGATGACCGCTCCTAATGTTTATAGTAGGATAGGGAATCTTTAGGCTTCTCAGTACTGTTTGATTACAATGTGCATGGTTGTGATGTTATAACTGAGCTCAGAAAGTTCCTGCGACTAAGATGACTACCAACCTTCTGGTTTCAGTGCATCCCCCATTATTATGATAAATATAAAACATTTCTCTATCAATTCCATTCACATCCTCTTAAACATTTGCTGCAGGTTTTCCATGAATGTTTTCATCTTATTCATCTTTATTTTCAAAGTCCTGTTTAGTGATCGTGGCTGTTTTTAAACACGAAGTTTTTAAACACAAGCTTCTCTCCAACCAACCCCAACACACAGTCATAATAAAAAAAACTACCAGCTACAAAAACAAACAGGACCCTTTCAAAAAACAGTAAAGCCCAAACATAATTTTTGTACTGCTATTTTCAATTGAAGTAATTTCATTAACATGTTCTCTTTACCTTTGCTCACACATGCAAAATATAGATGCGGTAAAACACAAGAAAATCTGAAATGGCAAAAACATTTATAGAACTATTTCTGTAGAAACGCCTAAAAGGCACAAAGTAGACACGTCTCTACAAGCCAACTCCACTCACTAACATCCCACTGGAGCAGACATGAACACGTCTGCTCAGGTGTAGGGGTGCATGCATAGATCAAGGCTTGTATAATAGAAAAGGAAAAGCTTTAGCTTGCGGGCCCCGCCTCTTCCTGTTGTCAGCATGCCTGCACACGTGGGAAAGTTCAATAAAAGAAAATGTGTAGACAGCGCTTTACGCGTCACGCCTTTACCACAAATACCTTTTCTCCCATGTCCTCAAATAAACCCGTTATATCAGACGTCAAATTAGATTGTAAACAAATTCCAGTAATTGTTATGACAAAAATAAACTACTTAAAGAGAAGCTCATAAGATTGGTGTAAAGTAGAATTTAAGTCTCCATGGTTTATGGACCGTTGTGGTCATCGACCTGAAGAAAAACCACTCTTTTTATATTACAGTTCTCATTTTAGCTTTTTTGATTTTATATTTTAACCTTAATTTAACCTTTTTCCAGCGCTTCCTCTGTGGGAGCCCTCTGCCCCGGCAGCAGTGGTCAGCTTTGGTGGCCTGGGTGCTTTCCAGGTGTGCCTAGGTGGAGGTGGGGGTCTCTGCCCTCCCTGCCCTGGGCGCCCTGTGTCAGTGCCTCGGCTGCTGCTGTGGATCTGCTACTGCCGAGGCGGATGGCTCCCCTGATGGTGTTTCCTTATCCTTATCTTAGCTGGTCTGGCTCATCTGATCTCAGTCAATCTTGTTTTTTACCATGGGGAAGGGGGCATGTATGTATGTGTGTGTGTGTGTGTGTGTGTGTATGTGTGCGTGTGTGTGTGTGCGTGTGTGTGTGCCGGAGGATGTGTTGTGAAGGGGTTTTTATTGTCCGACTGTTTTTAAAATTCTGGGGATGGGAGGGAATGTGGGTATGCGGAACCTTTTTAATTTGTTAAGCACTTTGAGTTGCATGTATTGTAGGTAGGGATGCACCGATGGATCGGCATTTGATCGTAATCGGCCGATAGCGCCCCTATCGGTTTTGATCGGAATTTTCAAAATAGATCAGAGCAAACCGATCAGGTAGGGTTGTCACGGTAACCAGTGTAGCGCTAAACCCCGGTAAAAAAAAAAAGAAAGAAAAAAAGTTGACAATAATAACCGTCTTGTTTTTAAAAAAACTATATTATCTTGGTGGGTTTACCGTGGCTGCGGTGTAGGCGTGGTGACCCTTACCAGCCACCGTATCATCGGCTGAAGTTGCCGGCGGCACATGCACGCTTTGTTTACAACAAAACTTTCTTGAAGCTAAAGCTGAAATAATGGTCAAAGGAGGAGACGGCAGCGCTCAGGAGGACATTTATTATCCCTCAAAGAAGACAAAGTCGGAAGTACAGGCATCTTTTAGATATTTGAAGAATGCCGAGGGAGTTTATGGAAGACGGACGGCTATCCTGTTTGCAGCACGAGCAGAAAAAGTGTCTGTGAAAGGCAGCAACGCTTCAAATCTCATGACACATCTGCATGACAATCACCCACAACTCTACAGTCAACGCAAGGCAAGTTAACGTTAGCGTTTTAGCTAAAATGCGTGATCCGAGGATTTGGGTTGAGGGAGAAGGCAACGAGTCGCTATATAAAGCAGCCGCAGCGCCGCTACCTGCATATAAACCGTGTCACGGACACCCCCATGTTGAAATGACGCTATGCATTACGGGGCTCCCAGGGGCAGATAAGAGTTGGTCTCTCTCCGAGAATAATTATGAATTTAACAAAGATTACTGCCTGATGACATTTTCCCACATCTGCAAAGCTCACTGGAAGGACACAAACCGAGGACAATATTTTCCTGATATACGGATTACTCAAGTAAGGGTAAAAAAGTATCTGATTAGAAGGCTACTTGAGTACTGAGTATCATCTGATCTAATATTGTTAAAATGATGACATCAAACAGACATAAAATAAGAAGTTATGGGCAAATATTGGTATTTTAAAGACTGAAGGGGAAAATGTAAACAAATAAACAACTTAATTACAAAATAACACATTTTAGGCAAAATTTAGACACAAACTGAGGACAATATTTTCCTGATATACAGGGTTTATTTAATTGTGTGAAAATGTAGCATGTTTAAAAAAAAAATGCGATAACACCGAAAACCGTGGTAATTTTGGTCACAATAACCGTGAGGTTAAATTTTCACACCGTGACAACCCTAACCCCCAAATTCCACTACCTCCGCTCCGCTGCGCTCCGCTCCGACACGAACGGCGGAGCAAAATCGGTCCCGTTGTAGTCAATCAGAGCAATTCCACTACTGCGGCCGTGCTCCGGCAGTGCGGCGCCGTGCGCCGCCCTCTGTTCCGGCGTCCGGCAAAAATAGAATCGATCCTATTTTCGCCGGACGCCGGAGCACCTCCGCAGTAAATGGACAGAAATCACAACGGCCCAACAGGAAAAGGAGCGAGCACAATTTCCGTTTTTCACAATAAATCGATAAACAAAAGGCGTTTTTTGTTTCATATGCACAGGTTTAACAACTTTTAACAACTATCAATGGCGGCTGAAGTTTAAATGCACAAAAATAAGCCATAAATACAGTTTCTACTATCAAAGTAGTCACACTTTGTTGATCCAAACACTGCTGATCTGTCAACACAAATGATGGGCATATTAAACAGCTCATGCCGATGTTTCTCCCACACAACGGGTGTTTGGATCTAACTTCCGCGTTTACTGCTCGGACTGTATCGCAAGATCTCGAAAATCCCGCGCATGCTTGTTTGCCCCCCTCAGGTCTCCGCACCGGAGCGGAGCCGTTGTAGAGCGGGTACCAGTAAAAATTGAGTTCGGAAGCGAGCGGCTGCGGAAGGCGGGGGCGGACCGGAGCGGAGGTAGTGGAATTTGGGGGTCATACAGACCATTTTAGATTAGGTTACATTTCCTTTATTCCCAGATTATGTAGTTTGTAGCACTCATTATAATGTTGTAGAAAATTTCTGGCCAATGAACGCGATCGGTATCGGTGATCGGTATCGGTGATCAGCATTCTATGATATCGGTATCGGTGATCGGCAGCAAAAAACCTGATCGGTGCATCCCTAATTGTAGGATAAAGTGCTATATAAATAAAAGTTGATTGATTGATTGAAACCAGGTTAATAACTAGGGAATAAACAACCATTTATTTTTGGGCTTCAGACATTTCCTTTTTATCAGATAGATACCATTTGTTCTGATTTCTAAGCCAGGAGCTGAATTAGCAGAATTCTACATGTTTATGTTCTCCGTGATCGTGTCCAACTGACCTGTGAATAGAAATTAGCCATGGTGGTGGTTTCTATATCCTTCTTTCCCAGCATTTCCATTTTGACTGGAGCTGAAGGGAACTTGGTTGAGAAGTAGTCCAAAAAGTCTGGAAGGTACTTTGCTTCTCCGTGAACAATTCCCATAACATAATGAGCTGCCTGCAAAAAGGAAGAGGATGGATTACATTCTGAGTGTTATTAAAAAGCTTCACATCCATATTATCTCATTACTAATAAAGTGACTATTTACAGGTACAATATGAATATTGCCTCTTTCAATTCAAAGTAATATCTTCTCAGTAGAAGAAAAACTGCAGCCGGACACTTTTGCACACACAAAAAAAATACCTAGAAATCAATATTCAGATCACATTATTCACTTTACCTTGGATTTGTCTTCACTGAACGATAAAGTGACAAACTCTTGGGCAAATCTCTGCTTCTGATCCGTGGAGAGAGAGGAAAGCTGGGATGCATATGCATGGGCAACCAGAGCTCCTCCGTTAGGTTGGTTTTCTATATAAATGTATGGCGCAAACTCCAGCCCCGCCATTCCCGGGTAGAAATACTGCAAGTTCTGTTTAGTTGGGAAGGGGCTCGTTGATGAGTTACCAAAGGGTTTAGAGGCAGGAGACGGAGAGGAGGGCCTGAGGTGGGACGTTTTGTTGTTAGGTGCAAGATGAAAAGGTGGAGGGGACTTAAAAACTGCTGAGGAGGAGTTGTTTGTTAGTTCAGAGGAAGAGTTGGTAGACGGAAGCAGGCCAGCACAGACGGTTTGGCAGGAGCGATGGTACAGCTTCACTCTCTTGTGCTTTTCTCCCTCTTTGTGTTTTTTCTTCTTCTTTTTCTTCACTTTTTTGATTTGCAGTTCCTCCGAGTTGATCTTTGCCTTCTCCTTTTCCTCTGGACAGAGATAAGAAAAGAACTGTGTTACAGAAGCGGACATCATTAAAACAGACGTAAATGTATTAAAAAGCTGGGCTGCAAATTTGAAATAAATAGGAAAGTTTTCTAGTAAAAAAATTATAAAGTCTAAAATAAGTCAAATTAAAATAAATAAAAAACAAGATACCCAATAATATCACCATAAAAAAAAAACAGGAAATCTGAAATTATTAAGCAAAAAGTATTTTAAGTGTAGACAGATGACTCAGATTTTCCCAGATCATGAGCATCCTTTGTGGTGTGTACGCAAAATAAATAGAAAAGCCTAGAAATAGAATCCCATGAGTAATGCAGCTATGACTAAGTCAGGAAACACAGTTTTGTCAGTCTCCGAGAGGAGACAAAAATGTACATGACAGTCCGCCAGTGGCAGGGCAAATTGGAACATGGAAATTTATGCAAAGCGCGAGTCGATTTGTCACTGTGTGTGTTAGAGCAAAACAATTAGCAAACAAGTGCGGGATGATTCATCTTTCATGTAAAATTTGACAATGATATACTTATTGTGTGCGTGTACACATGTGAGTCATACTGGAAGGTGCTACTCCATCAGAATAAATCAACTACAACACTGGTCACACACAGTCAGGCACACTCACAGATGGTACCCTATATACATCTTTCTGTATCAGATGAAGGAGGAAGGGGGAAGGAGTTGAGGGCAGAGAGTATTAAAGGGAGTGAAAATGCTATACTGAAGCTACTAATCCATAAGCTCTTTAATGCATAAATCACCCCCCGCCCCCCCTCGCCCACCCCCCAGAACATGCAAAAGACAGACACAAATGTTTTTGTTCTTAGATCCCAAACCACAGAGCAACACACCATAACTACAAAATGAGTGTTACGTGATCAATTTGTAAGATATCTGTACGGTGAGGTCAATCTCTATTTAATAAATGTACAGTTATAAATTACACATATTGCTGAAGAGTAACAGAGCTCTTAAAATCTAGGATTAACATACAAATAAGGATACTTAGTTGTAATTAATATAAATATCCCAAATATTTCCTTACGACATTTTTTGCAGTAAAGCAACTTGAGGTTTATCAGTAAATACATTTAAGAAAGTGGAAGGATCCTGACAATGACTAATTATTCACATCTGTTTAATGAATAACTAGACCTTGGTAAGCGCCGCTTGTCTGACTGGTCCCAATCAATTTAAGGTCAACTGAGTTTACAGTCAAATTAACACAGAGACCCACAACAACTTCAGCGATGGTAAAGCAGATTTACTGTCAGAACGGTCGTTTGCTGCTCAATGATTTGCAATACTCATCTCTACTGACCCCCCCCCCCCCCCTCCTCTCTTTATCGAACATCCTTTTCAATTGGAAACGTGACACTATTCCTCTAATCAGATTCCCAACTTTCCCTCTCAGTCTCTCAGTCATCCTCAACATTTACTAAACGTAATGCTCCCTGATTAAACACCGGATCCATTGCTGAAAATCTCCCCGCTGGTAGAGACAGCCCTCCACTCCACATTTTTCTTTCAGCTGATTGAAAATCTCACTGTGGATTTCCGCGTGTCTCTTGTTATCGTAAACACACATGATTAAATACCAGACTCTCTCGCAGGAAGGCAGGATTAACACTCACTCTTACTCTCAGTCTCTCTCTCGTAAGCCCTGCCGTTTAACTGTTCACATGAAATGAAAATATGAATCAACATTACGAGGGCGCGTGTCCTTTCTAGTAGAAAAAAATGACATTGCAGATAATCTCTGTAATTTTCATCTGCAGCAACTGGTCATAGTTTGTGGGTAAAATGCCACTAAGTCCACGAAATGTCACAGTGAGGTTGTGGTGTTCCTGCATTAGAATAAATCTAATCTATGGACAAAAAACAGGCATATTATATTTAGATATATACATCTGGGTGGGAAGTGTGTCATTTTTAAAAGCCTAAAAAGTCTAAAAATAAATGTCAACAAACAGCAGAGCTCAGATAATCCGCACAGATGGAAACAGGGATTACAGTCAAAGGGCTGTAGAAATAATTTACTACTGTGAAAAGGTTAACACCTAGAGTTGCAGATGCATGTATAAATAAATAAAAACCTGACTGATAAACCAGAGGACTGGAACAAGCTTCTCATGTATCCGTCTGCCTCCTGCTAAAGGTTTATACACACCAAGACCACAGCGTGGGGTGAGCAATAAGCACATGCAGAGCTATCGAGCTCTAAGACAGCATAATCAAAGTTAGACTATGAGGTGGGATAATAGAAATACGAGTAGTAGAGAAATAGACGACTGGTAGAGACAGAAAATAGCAAGAAGAGTGACCAAAAGAGTGGGAGAAAGGTGACAGAAAGATCTGCCCTACGAGTTCAAATAAGCTACGCTGCTTTTGGCTCGTCTCACAACTTGTCCTATAATCTCACTGCCACGACATTCAAAAAACCTCACAGAGAATCAAAAGGCCAGGCTAAATAAATTAGAAGCACTCGTATTAAAAGAAGCACAGAGAAAACGCCAGTGTAAGGGACAAAAGTCTGAAGTAAAGTTTCAAAATGAAAGTTGTTCTGCTGCTCAGTACAAAGCATCAGGAGTGGTGTGTATGCTGCTAATGTCACCGTAGTAACAATGAATAACTACTGCAGCATGTAGAAGTGGGTCATGTTTGGCATCATTAATAGGCCGTTTTACAGGGATTTTCTGTAGAACTCCAACACAGCAAACATAGTTCGGAGGAAACGTTGCCTGTGAGTTTTAAAGAGTAATTCTGTGAAACTTTGTGCAATTGTCAACACGACCCGCCGCTAATATTTTAGCCACACAAGAATTTTATTCATTTTAGGGATAACCAGCTATTGACCGTTAAGGGGCGTCAATAGCCGGTTAAAGATATTCTGGAAAACGTGCGTCCCCAATTCACTTAATTACAAAAAATGATTTTCATTTTTAAATTACAACACTTTTGTTCTAATTTCCTATGCATAATCAAATCTTAAATATGCTGCTCTTACCACTCATTACTTCAAATAACAGCCCAGATTCTTTTGCTCCCACATTTTAGTTGACATGAATGATTGTCTTCACCAACCTTTAATCGGCTGCTTGACTTCTCCGTTCTCCCTCGTGATCTCATTCATCACTTTGTGCTTTTTCTTCTCCTTTTCCTTCTCTCGTTCCTTGACCTTCTTCTTCTTCTCCCGCTCCTTTGCCTTGTCCTTGGTGGATTGTTCTGTGAAAGCAGTGAGGTAGAGTCAGGTTTCAAAGGTAGAAAACATTTTCAGAGCTTGGTTTTTAACCTTGTAATAATCACACAAATACATGTGTACACCAACTATTTTTCTTGATTTGTATTTAAACTGTGATCTTTTCTTCCTATGAAAATCCCGTACGGTCACCCTGCAACTTCACTCACAAGTCATCATTAGCACATATAAACAAGCATATGCATTTTTTGAGCCCTGACGAAAGCCCTGTGGGCTGAAACGCATTGGCATTGATGTTTTTAACAATTTAAGCCATGTACTAATAAATGCTTTTTATTTTTGCATCTCCTGAGTGCCTCAGATCTCCTTTTGCCAACATTTATGTGAATCCCTTGGCTGAAGAGCACCAGTGAGAGCACCAGATAAGATTTCTCACACCCCTGCAGCACTTCCAGCATTTTTTCTATAAGCATATGCATCTTTTTAGTGCACGCTCAGAACCTTCAATACACTTCCTTTCTTTAAGAAGTCCTAAATCACCTCCTCACTTGTAAACCCCTCGTACTTTTCTGTACACAGAATCATTTGAGTGCTTAAACAGCCAAGGCGTTTACAACAGAATGAAGGTACAGTATTTTCTTTAAAAATACATTTTAATTAAATAATTAGTGATGCACCAATACAAACATTTTGGGCCGATACCGATAGGGTTGGGCATCAAGCATCGAACATCGATTGGAACCGGTTCCAACTGTTTTTCCCCAGAATCACTGTTTTGTATCTCGATTCCTAGTGTGCCAACGGAAGAGGAATCCGCGGCCGATCTCACTGAAAAATGAATGTGATCTGCAAATTGTGATCAACGCTTTTCAGAGCTGATCACACCAGTTGTGTGTGCAGCACGAGTACCCCCTCCTCCCACCTGACGCGCAGCGGCCAAAAATAAACAAATGCGTCTGCTGAACTTTTACTCCGTAATGTAAACTTTAACTCCTGCAGCGTAGAGGAAACTTGTTAAAATACGTCAACACGGTGGATTTAATAGAAGCTTTAAAGAACAAACTCTAGACGGCGTGAGGCGAGTTTGTCTCACTGCAGAAATGAAAACACACACGGAGCGTCAGCAGTCTGACACGTGAGCATCAGAAGGCTGAACAATAACCTGCAGAAATTAAAAGTCATCATGCTAGAGCAGCTTCTCTGTGGTGGACCACACCAGCTTCTGCCAAAATAAATAATAATAATTATAATAATAAATCACACACAAAGCTGTGAACATTTTAATTTCCTTTCTGAACTATTTCTGTTGAGTTTTAATGTTTAAAATCTGTTAGGTTGTTACTGACAGCAGCTGCATTTAAGTTTCACTTTCTGTTCTGACTGAATGCTGCTGCAGCATGGAAGTGTAGTTCTCAGTCATCCATGACCATCCTGAGTTTTAGCTGAAAACAGCTGGACGTTTCTGGATGTGTTGCAGACATTTAGCCTCTCATCCCAGAGGCTTCTTCCAGACATTGGTTGTGGTCAGAAACAAACACACTGGTTGTGCTGCAAGTCTTTTTCTTTTTTTCTCCAAAACATGTCTTTGTCTAAATGAAGGTGATGTTATTGTTCATAGAGTTAGAACTCATGTTGAAGTTAAGATCATTTCATCAAGTAGGACCTGTGGTTAGCTGGCTCATGTAAAACATGTCATGTCTTGAAAGAATCGGAATCGGGAATCGACAGTAACCGGAATCGAAACGAGGAATTGGAATCGGAATCGTTCAAAATCAAATGTTGCCCAACCCTAGATACCGATAATAAGATCACCATTATGGCCAAAAACCAATATACTGACAATAATGCTTCTAAAAATCAGCTGATTTTCTATAGAATAAAAATTATTAAAGCTGACTTTTAGGGATAGACAATATATCGGAATCAATATTGGTTTTGAACAATGTTAGTCACTTTTTTAAGATATCGGTCCGATAAATAAAACCGGGCTGATATTCAACCAATATTTTTTCCAACTCGTCTCCATTTGTTTGCCTGTTTCAGAGGGTGAGGGGAGTGATGTGTAATCGTTTAGTCATGTGAACAGGGATTAAAATAATCTCAGAACCGTAAATGTGTGTGTTGTGTGTACATAATAATGTAAATTCAGCTTTAATAATTTTCATTCTATACAAAATCTGCTGATTTTAGAAGCATTAATGTCAGTATCCATGCTTTCGTTCTTTTTTAAACACAGAAACAGTTTTGTTTACCCGTTTGTAGCTACAGTTTCGCCGACGGCTGCCGGCTTCTTCAGGCTGACGCTGATGGTGGCGCGTCACTTCCTTCTCCGTTTATCTGCGGGCAGCAGAGGACGTTGTCGCCCTCTACTGCCCACTCTCCCCTCTCCGACGATGCAGTCCCATGCGTGGTCCAGCGTGTAAACTCCGTCGTCCCTGTTCATGGTCCCACATCCACGTCTCCTTATCTCGATTGCTTCCTTGATCCATCTTTTGTATTTTTGTTGTTCGGTGGTTATGATCCGTGTGTTGTCCCAGTCCATTATATGGTTTTCTCTTAAGCAGTGATCTGTTACGGCTGACTTTTTTATTGTACTTTCTGCTTCTTCTTTTGCTGCTCTTGTGTGTTTACGATTTGCCTCTTTCTCGCACTCCTTTCTGTGTTCTATTGTCCGTGTATTGAGTTGGCGTCCGGTTTCTCCTATGTATGTTTTATTGCATATTTTGCATGGGATTTCGTAGATGACTCCACATTTTTGTCCAGCTGATATTTTGTCTTTTGGGTGCACTAGTCTGTTTCTAACTGTTGTGTATGGCTTTGTTGGTGTGTTTATGTTGTGTTTTTTCATTGTTGCTCTTATTTTTTCCATTATGCCTCTGATGTATGGTAGGGTTATCACTGGTTTTGGTTCTTGTCTTTCTGGGTTTCTGGTTCTTTTTTTGGGTTGTTCTTTGCTTTCTGTTTTTGTTTGTTGTTTTCCTTTGTTTATTGCCCATGTCGGGTATGCGCAGGTCTTTAAAGCGTATTGTATGTGTTTGTCCTCTTGTGTTCTATTGTCCGCCAACTCAATACACGGACAATAGAACACAGAAAGGAGTGCGAGAAAGAGACAAATCGTAAACACACAAGAGCAGCAAAAGAAGAAGCAGAAAGTACAATAAAAAAGTCAGCCGTAACAGAACATTGCTTAAGAGAAAACCATATAATGGACTGGGACAACACACGGATCATAACCACCGAACAACAAAAATACAAAAGATGGATCAAGGAAGCAATCGAGATAAGGAGACGTGGATGTGGGACCATGAACAGGGACGACGGAGTTTACACGCTGGACCACGCATGGGACTGCATCGTCGGAGAGGGGAGAGCGGGCAGTAGAGGGCGACAACGTCCTCTGCTGCCCGCAGATAAACGGAGAAGGAAGTGAAGCGCCACCATCAGCGTCAGCCTGAAGAAGCCGGCAGCCGTCGGCGAAACTGTAGCTACAAACAGGTAAACAAAACTGTTTCTGTGTTTAAAAAAGAACGAAAGCATGGATTTAGAAAGACACAGCAAGAACACACCTAAGATTAATGTCAGCATATCGGTATCGGCAAATTTCGGTTATCGGCCATAACAGTGATCTTAATATCAGATATCGGTATTGGCCCAAATGTTTCATATCGGTGCATCACTACTGAATTTACATTATGAAGCCTACAACAGATGGACCCAAATTAAAATTTCACAGATCAGCAGCGAACCTGGTGTCCCGGCAGCTCGAAACCTTGCTCTATTATTGCAACTACAAACTCCACACACCTGATGTTGCTTTGGCGTTTGTGTTCCATGTTTCACCTTAAGAGGTACCGGATATTTTAGAAAATGTCCATAATCTAAATCAAAACACTTCCATAAGTTGTGGAGAAGATCAGTTAAAATAGAAGTAAACCTGCATCGCCCGCCTTCAGAAATATGTGGCAGGTGTACCAACAAACACCCACCATCCAGCTGAGTCATAAGACATTTCCTTTCTGAAAACAGCTTTCAAATTTAGCAAATCTTTTTTTTTACTTGCCTTTTTATATTGTCCACTTCCTTTTATGTCCAATTTTAAAAGAAACATTAAATTTAACACAGTATTCTGAGCTGACTCATTTTTATTTGCAAAGAACTTTTTCTTTTGAACTCTGTCAGAACTGTCAGAAAAAAGGAAGCTGTGTTTTTCCTGTGGATGTAGAAAGTGGGAACACCAGCATTGTTTTTGTGAGACTCTGTTTGCAGGATCAAAAGACCCTAAAAAATAACTCTGGAAGTAGAAATCCTTAGAGAATGATCAAAAGAAATAAAATTACCCTACTAAAAAATGTAGCAGTGGTGCCATTTATAAACATATTTTTGAACTGGAAACTAGTTTATGTTCATATTCAGCACACTATTGTTATAAATGATCTGCGCTTGTATAGCGCCTTTCAGAGTAAGGACTCCAAAGCGCTTTACACTACAGTGTATCATTCATCCATTCACACACTGATGGTGATGAGCTACGATGTAGCCACAGCTGCCCTGGGGCGCACTTACAGAGGCGTATTGTTGTATTTGGTTGATAATATGAAGAATGTCAAAACTAACTACTAAAATATGGAAATTTACCAAGGACTATAACCTGCTTGATTAAATTAAACTAAAACAAAGTGCATTAAAAATAATTTGAGCTCCTTGGAGAGGTAAACCTACAGTGGATCCTCAAATGTTTTGCCAGATTTTTGAAAATATAATAAAACCAGGCCAGAGACTTGACAATCATAACGAAACATTTACAGCCAACAGGTGACATTGGCTAAGGGGGCTGACCTTAAATGCTCTGGAAAACTAGCATGGTTCATCACAGCTTAAGAGAGAGTGAAAAGGCTCTCTCATAAGCTTAATGAAAAGCTTCTTAAGTCAGCGCAAAACTTAAAATGAATGAAATCAGCGGGCTTTTCATTTATTTAGCAAGGTACACCTGCTTACTCCATCCACCATCTGTGCTTAAGATGACTTTTCTGAGATCGGTGTTCTGACTTGTTAATTTGGCAGCCAGGTTTGTGAGTGAGACTGCAATATGATGACACTGGCAACCTTTACATGGCCTTCGTGTCTCCAGCCAGAAGGAAACCAAAATATACACACTGTGATCTTTAATAGAACATGCTGGAATAAATGCACTTAAATAATTCAGCAAACAGGTCTGGGTTTTATATTTAACTACCAAAGAGAAAATATATTGCTGCCGAGTAAATTAGTAAACTACTTTTATTACTGACACATGGTTTCCTTTGGTTTTTATTATTTTGTGTTATGACTACTGGAAAAAAAAATCAAGCTAACTGGTTTTTGCACAAGAGCTCAAAGGCATCAAAGACTAAAAATATTGAGCTAAAAATCATAGTCCAAGAAACATTTTCATGTGAAAACTAACCCCTATCCCTATACTGGAGGCATCAGCGGCGTGGAACAGCAGCGGAACAATTTACTCACAAGCTTTGCTGTGTGCCAGTACACAGCGGGGTAAATTAGAATGTTTCTACAAATGTCCAAAATCCTGATTTATGAAACACGAGGTGACCTCTCGAACACATTTTCCTCCGCAATTATCCGTTGATAAATCCCAACTATGTGTATCCAGGTGCTATTGTCCATTCTTAGTCATTTACATTCAGGAAAACCCTCAATTAACCATATTTGGTCACATCAAGCTCTGAGCTCGTGAGGGGAATCCCTATGTTCCTCCCTATCATATATATACATATATATATAAACTTTATTGACAGCGAGATCAAGTTTGCCATTAACATTTTGCATTTAAGGAGTCATACTGTTTGGAGTTGGTTTTAATTGGAAATGTTGTCTGAGAGTAAAGCCTTTTCTGAGCTGCCAGTCAGTCTGGTTACCTTGGCAACTCAGGTATGATGGGGAGCAGAGGAGGTTCTGGGGAGTTCTTGTAGTTGTCAAATAGAAAATGGACTGGAATCTGATTTGTGCAGTTTGTCTGTCGTGCCAAAGGGTCCCAAATCATAGCATAGCTCCAGAAGGATCTCCTTCAGGAATCAGATCAGTGCGTTCTTAGAGGACACGTTCCCGGAGTGCACACTCTACCACATCCTCCAATAACACAAGATCAGCCATGCTACAATGTCAGATTCCCGCAGCTCACAGGTGTATTTTATAGGTTTTAGCACTGTGTGACACAGCTGTTATTCCACCAAAATAATTACTTATTTGGTTAAATAATTTGCGGATGGGGAATACGTGTGGACGACTGTCTGATACCTTCAGTATTGTGGTTACCAGTTCTACGCCCTTGTACGCATGGTCAGTGATTTTCTCATATGTAGACTAAATTAGATCCTATGCACAGATCTGTGCATCTGTATGGTTGATGAATGAGGCCCCTGGATTTCAAATTAGGCACCTCTTCTAAAAAAATACACTATTAAATACAAACAACACACAAGTAATATTAGATGAATTATAATCTGCAACAAAATTTTGCTTTCCATGTGAAGAAATTAAAGATGCTTTAACTTATAAATAATAACACGAAAAGAGGTGTTGTGTTTGAGAATCCTTAATATAGCTTTAAGCACATTTCAAAGTAAAATATACACATCAACACTAGCACTTTCAAAGTTTCATATTCCAGTAACGCCACACCTCCCACGTCTATACAAGATGGTTTATGTTAATGTTTCAGAAAAACAAAGTAACATATCCTGGAATCCTATCACTGCTGTGTGTCATGTCCTCCTAAACTGGCCAACTGGATAAAGGTGACATCACTCTCCATCTTTCTCACACACACACACACACATACACACACACAAATAAAGAAAACATAAACAAATATTAATTTATCAAAAAAGCTATTTGAGGCATTAGTCTGGCGTAACAATGACCAAGCGATACAATGATACACAACAATTTACATAAGGCAGTCATAAAATAAATGACAAGTTACTGTTTGGCATTGATTCAGACAATAACTAACTAATAATACAATTCTCCCATAAAGAACGTTCAGATAGCACCCTGCTACGTTCGTTACAAAACTGTAACACGATAGCACCAGATAAAGGGGAAAAATAATTAAGTGAATGAATGTAAAGATTTGTTGCATTAATGACAGTATCAACAAGCCAGGACGCGTTTCTCAAACAGCCAGGGGTTACAGAGGGGGGCGTGGTGTTGTACCAAAACAACACTTGCCCTATAATGGCGGGCGGCTGTCATACTGTTATGACACGGACGTGGAATTCTAACATGCGATATGTCATACAAATGAATAACAATTTAGCTAAATTGTTGTATCTGTGATAATTTGAACACTTCCTGTTAATAAGACCGCGTTTTCATTCGTCTACCGCGAATTAGGTCGATGTATTCGAACAAATTCGGTTTTATTTTCTCAATAATTACGTAACAATTCCGCCGCAGCACGAGAGCAGCTGGTTACAATTCAACTGCCAGGTCGCGCGACGGCTGCTCGTGTTGAGCTCGAGGGCTCACGAGTGAATGAACAAGCAGTAAAAACCTGCAAACAGTCCGTGGATTTATCGATTAAAGTGAGCTTTAAAAAATCACTAAACACGACGTGAACATTTCCCAGGCGAACTATTATAGATTCCAATAACACACTTTATTTATCAAATTGTACGTGACCGTAAACGACATCGTTTTTTTCTGTAGCTAAACTGACATACTCGCATTATAAAACAAGACACTCCAAACCACATGTTACATTAGTTGAATCTCACATAAAACAAGTACTTCTAATACAACCTAAACTTTAAAAATAAAAGTAGATCAAAAATAAATGTTTTGATGGCCTACCTTGGGGTGGTAACGTGACATCTCCATTTTCTCTTTTCACTGCAGAAATGTTGTTAAATCCACCGATATTGTTAATGTTGCTCCCGGGTCCAGAGGTCAACAACAGTTTATGTTTCTTTTTCTCCTCCCCGCCTCCCTTCCCCTTCTCTCTCTGCGTGTCTTTACTCTTGGGTTTCGAGGAAGGCGCCTTGTGGAGGAAAAAATCGCTCTGTTTAAAGACTTTGTGTGCGCTTGTCGGTGGATGGGCTCCACCGGTAGCAGGCACCGGGGGGTCGCTGCTGTTAGTCTTAACAGGGCTGAAGCTCCACAAACTCTGCTGCTTCGCGTGTTGGACTTTCCCGCTATAGCTTCCCACACCTCCGTCCGTACCGAGTTTCTTGGGTTTGACGCTCTTCTCCTCTATTCGGACCTTCTTGGGTGGCGGCGGGCTGAAATCTCGGGAATATTGCGAGCGGTCCGGGGCTTCCTTCGCCTCCGTCGGCTTACCGAGCGCGCTTTTGACTGAGGCAACCGCAGCAGCAGCAGCTCCAGAGAGATGAACAGAGCCCAGCGAGTCAGCCATCTTGAGGCTTCTCCCTCTATTTACTCTCTTCCCCAACGGCCGCGCTGCTGCTTTTTTTTTCCGCGAGCAGTGACGGGGGCGGGGTCTGGGTTTGATTGACAGATGGGCGGTGCTAAGACTTGAATGGCATGTAGAGTACATTAGAGGCGGGGCTTAAGCAGCATAAACAAACAGCGTTTTAAAATGTTTTTGAAATACAAGAATAGAACACGGTTAGCATTAGAAAAATTATAATAAACAATGTAGCTAAACCAAATTTCTCGTGGCCCTGAATATTTTTTTGCTTCCCATTGATTATCTCCAAGGAGTGACAATAAACAATTATTGTAAATAACACTTGATGTAAAATTTGGAATGAACTTTCAAAAGATAAACATGTTTTTATGACAAATTAAACAATTAAAACAAAAACGATTGATATAACGTGTGGACAATATTTTTCCAGAGTTTGAGCTATTCCTGAAATGTCATAAAATAATCCATTATTTAGTCCAATAATCTACCATGTTTGTGCTCAATCTTTATTATACAAGTGCTGTAGATGTTTTGACTGTGTTTATGCTTCTTATTTATTGAAATTAAAGAATTTTCTTTTAAAAACTGATACATCTGAGCACAAATTCAGGTCAGGAATTGGCAGACAATTATGAACACTAAATATGAGCTGTGAATCTGCTCATCCGAATTTAAACATTGACACGCCTAAAGAGCAAGTCACCCCAAATCAACTTTTTTCCCCTGATAAACTATATAAATGCGTGTCTAATCGTGCTGCAGACACTTGCAGTCAATAATTTTGCACTTTAGTGCATTTTAGTTAACATTTCAATATTCTGCCTAAAACTGTCAGTGTTGTGCCGTTGTCAGGTAAAAACTCAGCACTGCATTTGAATTTAAATCTGCCATCGCTATTGGCTAAAAGGTACCCTAGAACGTTAGCTGGTACCATATGGTGCCACAATGTGGTTGAGCCCGTGTGTGTGTGTGTGTATTTGTTAGCGGCTCCGCCCTCACGGTCTGCTAGGCAACAGCATTTGTTGCATTTTTCAAATAGGAAGTGGGAGTTGAGTAAGAATCTGGTAGGGGGTGACTTGTTCTTTAATTTGAGATGCAATTCAGAAGTGGAAAATGTTTTCTCTCTGCCCCGACTTGTTACATATATTTACTACAGATGGCAACGCAAGCCTGCTGATGCTGCTCACACACAACTCTAACCGCCTATAAGCCATTACACAACATGTTAAAATGCTCATTGGGAAAACTGAGGTGACCTAGTTAAGTCAGCAACCGACTTTTACACACAGAGACGGAGAAAAAGGGACGGACTGTGCATTTGTGTGGTCTTGATGCATTACTGAGAACTCTGCATAAACAATGAGATATTTTTGCCATAATGACTTTTCTTTTCTTTATTTTGCAATGTGCATCTTATTCCACAGCACTTCAACGTTTAAGAACACACTTGAGTTGAGCTCAGTAATTTACTTAGGTTATTTTTGTGTGTCACGCATTAGATGCACACCTGCTAACCTTTGAAAAGAAAATCTCACTGCTGGTGTGTTTCCTATTTTAAGGCAGTTCATCATCCATTAGTGCTTTTAAAAATAAGCATGAACTGCTGCTGTGAAAAAGGCACATGCAAATATCAACACCACCATGTTTTACAGTAGAAAGAGGCCATGTTGTGCACAACTGTGATCCAGAGTACTTACTAAAGACCACCTCTGCTGAATATATTCATGCTTATAGTAAATCTGAAATGAGCATTGGCAACATGGAAGCACTAGTAATTAGTGTCTTGCTGCTGTCTCTCAATAGGAGGAAATATAAACGTGTAACCTTTAAGGTGCCAGGCCAAAGTGTGCGTACACACCACCTCCTACATCTGTCATAGTAGTGTGTGAGGCCAATTTAGCATTTAATCCACTTCCTGGTGCAACTTGCCCTCTACTCACACTTCCTCCAGCAGTTCACAAGTTTATCTGTCATCATCGGAGATAAAGCGGTTTATTAAAAGCCATTTGATACATGCATCATGTTTGCATTTAAATAAAGAAATAAAGCAGACATCTTTACTTAACGTTAATTTTTACTGATTGATTTCTGTAGCATACAAACATTTGTGTTTGTGAGACCGGACTTTTCTTTTCTGAAGTGATGAGCAAGCAGCAACTGAACACCTCAGGCGTGAGTCAAATGATGACTGGAGGGGACAGGAAATGATTAGAGTGGGCGGCATCTCTTAAAGGCACAGGTGGGCTCTTGTCTGAGTTTGAAGTTTTGTAAATAAGAGTATCAGTGTGTGTGCCAGACGATGGAGGAAAAACAAAAATTGGTCAAACAGCCATAAAAGATTATATCTCCTTTTCCAACTTTAAACTGCTAAAATCTTAAAATCACTCGTGATCGTTTGGCACATAGGTGCAAAACCGTCTGTCGCAGTCGTTCCACTGAAAGAACAAAGAAAAAGGAGAAAGCGTGGAATAATTAGCAAGATTTAATAGAATGAAGAGGTGGAGTGAGCCAGTGAAAACATAAGACATGAACTCAGAGTGGGAGCTGTGATGCAACAAAACCGCGTATACAAAAATAACTTTTAAAATACCATTTACAAAAAATGACCATCAGTATTATTATCAGCATTAATAATATTATTACAATCTTATTCGGAGACCATTGTAGTCTTCAGAGGAGGCTGGGTGGCAGCTTGTGCCATTTTTCTGCCAACAGCTAAAACATTTATCAATCTGTTAAGCACACAGTTGAAAAATAACAATTTAACCCTGAACTATTTGCCAGAAGCAAAATCAAAAGGGTCACTGAATAATTTACACATCTAAAGAAAACTATGGGGAAGAATCATCATCATCATGCACTGACTTTCGTACATCTTCTGTTAATAGAAATATTTAGGAAACAGTAAAAAGAAATTTGAAATATTATATACCTCAACTGCCCTGTACAGCTCTCATCTTTAGAAAAACAATGTACATACTATGACGTCGTGGTAGCAAATAAAAAAAGATGTTAACAATAAGAAGAAAACAGAATTCCTGGGTCCTTAGCTGCTGTTGATGATCTCTTACTGGATCCCTACATCACACAAACAGAAGCCGGTAAAGAGAAACAACAGAGCGTTCAACCTGTCAAAACCAGTTTCTAGTGTTTCAGGTGCAACATCTATACTCTGTAACACTGGAGGTTTTATTGTGAGAAACGTGTAGGAGACAGGGAGACGAGCAAATGAAACAAAGAAACACTAAAACGGAGAAAAGGGAAGTGAAAAGCAGCCAATAGCTTCTATAGTAAGAGGACACGTCCTTAACAGGCTCGTGGTCTCATGATTCAGAGTTTGGCCGATAATGATGTCATTAATAAAATTTGCCCTTTTATGTGATTCTTAACTGATTTCTATCACCCTTCTTAATATGGTGAAATACATTCAAATGCATTTTAAATAAATAAATTAAAACTTCAGATTTTACGAGCAACTTGTTTGGGAACCTTTTTAGGATGCTTTGGCATCATGGTCGTATTCCCTTAAACCTCTAAGTAAGTTTGGAATTTATTGCTTTCAGCTGAATATTTTCATGTTAGCTTAGCTTTATGCAAACCAACTCGTTTTGTATTTAGGTGAATGGGTGCATGTCCTGATGGCAACAAAAGAGCAGAGAAACAGAAATCACTAGGGCCTGTTTTTACATTTTTCCCATACATGATTAAAATCCAACAGGAAACCACAGCACAGATGAGAAACAGGTGAGAGATGATTATCATCAGCTCCAGCGTGGCCGTTTCTATGCAGAGTGGTTGTAACGCAGCAGCACACAGAGACACAGAAAGCCTCCTATAGCAACCTCTCACACCGTTCTGATAAGATTGCATCATGAGTAAAAGATTATCCAAGTTCGCGTTGAAGATTGTTCATTCATTGAGAGGCAGCTTGTTTTGTTTTCTTTAACTCGGGGATCTGCTTCCCACACTAGCTTTCCTGAATACGTCTCATTCCTCTCATTTGGCTTAAAACAACGAGTAAAAGTAATTTTTAAGTCACTTTATTTTGTGTTAAAAAAAGGGAGAAATTTACATGTAGTTGGGGGATGGGGGGGGGGGGGGGGCGCTAGGCCTCATCTTTGTTAAATCCCCTAAAAATTTATCTTTCAACCATTAACTGGGCAAAGACTAATCTCAAGCCAGCAAACAGCCTAAGCATAAACATTCTGAAGAGGAAAAGTTTGGATGTCTTTAAACCAGTAGCTGCTTGTTATTTTGCTCGGTGGCACTTAGAAGGAGGACACGAGGAGGAAGTTTGCACACAGAAGAAGCTTCTCTGTATAATGTGCTATTTGGTCAGTGTGGCATTTAGCAAGTTTCATTTGGATCATCCAGGTGGGAGCCCACATCCTGACAAGGTAGGATGTTGTTGGTGAACAGGCAGACGGCTTGTTCAATCATGTCCACTCCAAGGGGGCGTTCTCGAGGACTTCTGGGTTGAATGCAGTGGTTACCGAACCCTGAGGAGAAAATGGGAAAGTTTTCATTTGGGTTTGCTTTTCTCTGAATGGAATAGAAATCCAGGAATTTTCCCTCTGTTCAGACTGGTCTCAAAGCCAAACCTTTTTTCTTCTTGCACATGCAGCTCAAAGCTTGCTTTCTGATCAGCAAAAGCTACCGCACACATAAAAAATGCTGACTTAAAAAGAAAACATGCCACTGAGCAGTGTTTCCGTCAGAAACTAAACAGAATGAAATAAACAAACAAAAAAAAAAATTTCCAGCCATTCTGTCAAAAACAACTAAAACTAAGTCTAAAAGAAGGAATGTGACAGACTTACCCACCCAGGTCTGCTTGGCTCTTTGCTACTGTACTTCCAGCAGATCCTGGATCAGCTGGAGGTGTCTTGTCACAATCTGACATATATAAACACAAGCAGACAGAATAATGAGAAGTGTAAAACAAATGGTATGACAAATCAAAACTAGTTGAAATAGTAAAGATTAAACATACACTTTTGTTTATACTGAAAATGTCTTATTCTTATATCAAGTTATTCCGTTTCAGTCAGGCTGCCATGCCCACATCAGAACCAACACTCTTACCGAACTTCTCTGCAGACATGTTTTAATTTGCTATTTTCTCCCTCCTTTTACCCGTAGTCTCATTCCTACAGCTGCACCTGACTCCTGCTGTTATCCCTATTGTGCGAAGGCTAATTTACAAACGCAAAGCAGGCCTGGTTCCTGCTTCCTAACAACTGTGAGCAAATAAACAGGGATGTGTGCGCACACAGCCAGCCAAACTGAAAAATGGAAAGAGTTAAGGTAGTGTGTGTGTGTGTGTGTGTGTGTGTGTGTGTGTGTGTGTATGTATTTTAAAAACCTTTTTGTGAACTCCATTCAGCTGAAGCAGATGTTTTTACTTCCACAGGGTCTGAGGGGGAGAGCACATGACCGTCAGTTTAACTAGCAGCAAAATTTCAAGATTAATCTGCAAAACATTGAAGACACGCTCACAAGAGTACCGGTAGATACACATTCTCACCTAATCGCACACTTTACACACACACACACACACACACACACACACACACACACACACACACACACACACACACACACACACACACACACACACACACACACACACACACAAACACACACAAACACACACACCCCAAATATGAAAGCAGCAAACAACATTTGTCCTACAACTATCATCTCCTCCTGCCTCCTGGGACCATGCACCCCCTAAAGAGGATGCTGGCTTCTATTCTGTTCAACTGGGACCTTTACTTTAAATAGAAAAACAGGATTTTCTTACTAAAAAAAACACTTTCCATGTTTATGAGGTCCTACTAAATTGAAATAACTAAAACAATGAAAACATTTCCACTAAAAAAGCTCAGGTCTCAGGGGAATGTCTTGTTTTACTTACTGAGCCTCAACTCACAAACGCTAGTTTTAAATTTCTAAAACAGCATTTGCTGCCCTCTAGTGTCTGAAAACTTGCAAAGCATCTACAAAGTCACTTTTCCTGTGCTGCGATTTTTATCATCAGCCTTTCACTTAAACATCAAATGCACGAGATAGACACACAACAAGGGGCTGAGTTCAGAAAAGCTCTCCCACCCAGAAACCAAAGTTCCTCCGGTTCCAGGTCAAATGAGAGTAAAACCAGCCACAAACAACCACCGCTGGCTGATTCTCTTCACAATCGCAGAACTCTGATCACTGCCCTCAAAGTAAAAATCACAGAACAGAAAACATCAACGGAACAAAATCTGAACTGTTGGATCTTTGTGGCACATTTCAAGTCTCCTCTGAAGTTCTTCACCACCAATCCGACCAACGGCACCGACCCGGCAGGCGACCCAGTGAACCCGCTCCACTGGACACACAACTGAGGATATTGACCAATGCAAACGCACCTGTGGCCAATACGAAGGACTCAGGGGTTCTCTCGGGGAGGGGGGGAGGGGAGTCATCGCTGTCCCAGCAGTCTGGGTCAAGAGGTCAGAGGTCAAATAAAGAGCAAGGTTAAACACTGTCCAAAAAGATCATGTCATGAAATATGATCGGCTACTTTGGCCTGATTTAGGTTCTCTAGATTTTGGGGAAACCATTTGACTCGTGGAATTTATTAGAATTTAACAAATTTTTTCAATTAATCCTAAATGTTGTTTGCTCTCAACACTCTGTACAACTTATGCAGTATGCACATTTACAAATAAAGGTTAAATTAATAAAACATTTAATCAAATAAAAATATATTTTCAGTTTAGTTTCTTGTACTAAATGCTACTTCTATATTTTCCTATAATATAACACGTGAACCCTTTTACTGTTTTTTAGAAACTTTTCTATTTTAACTCTACAAAAATAATCCAGGAAAGACGTTTAAAGAGGCCCAACACTGTTCTTGGAGATGACCGTGCTATTTCTGAGTTATTTAATAAAATAACAGGTTTAACTGAAGATCTGTGTAAGTAACAGCTTTTGTTTAAAGGGTGTTATTTAGTATTACAATAATCAACAAATATTCATGTACTTTTAATACTTTAAAGAGGACTACATTAAAAGCAGTTTTAGGTTGAAATCACTGCCTTAAACCTCATTTCCTCATTTATTTTTTCATTATTAAGCTTTCATCTATTTGTACACCTACAGTAAAGTGTGCTTTGGTGTTTCAGCCACAAACTAAAGGCTCATAAACGACTACAATGTGTGCACCGGAGTAAGGGTTTGGTGTTTCTTTAGTGAAGCAGCCAGAGAAACAAGCAGCCACCACCAGCTTCCTCTTGTTCAACCACAAAAGCAACATTTTGTTCAGTGCAACCATCAACAAGCAGCCATTCGATTCTTGCCACAAATCAAACAGCAGCCGCTTAGTGTTTGGTAAATGAAGATGCACCCGCCAAAAACACGAGTATGCCCAAATAAATAAAAAATAAAAAAGAAGAGCAAAGCAGACCAAACAGTCAAACTCAGCTTTGACTGATTTATTTATAGTTTAGTCTAACTTTTCACATCATATCAGCAGTTGGCTAATCAAAAATCTGCTCACAGATGAGCGAAAATTAAAAATGTGTTAGAATATTCAATCCACTCCAATAAAAGTCCAGCTCAAACTCCCCCACTCACACCAGCTCAGACCAGAACAAGAATCATGCTTCAGAATCTGATTCTGAAATCACAAAGGAAGAGAAGGAATCTCGGTCTTAAACCCCTCAGATGAATAAAACCACAAGGTGTCGATACATTTGTGACAGAAAGACAAAACGTGTCACCTGGTTTTGTTCAATCTGACATGCATGTGTGAGTATCATGCAATGCTGATCCTTCACCGTCCCAACATGCACACACAGAAACCCAAACAGCATGTCTTTCATTCCCAGAGTTATTCACCAGGAAGCCGGACAACGAAGAGCGTTTTGATAGATGTGATGTTTACAACCTACCTCACAAATCCGACAGCAGACTTATTTTATGTCTCCCTCTCTCTCTCTGATTCTGTGTGTTTTAACAAATAGGGCTAATCTTTAGCATCTGGTCAGATGTGTTGCTGACCCAGAAAATGACGGTAAGAGTGGTTTATCAGCGTGTATGTGGGTGTGGGATATACAGGCATGTTGTCAGATAAGACTTGGTGCCTTTGCATGAGTTGAATAGAGAGAATCTCAGCGAGACTAACAATAAATGTGATCACCTCTAACTATTAAACTGTTTAACACTCGTTTTATCAAAACAAAAACAAAAAGTCAATTTAGAAACACCAAAAGCAGCTGGCTGACATACTTGCTGTGGTTGTGGAAGGTGGAGTGGCCTGTCCGGCAATCGACATCGTCAGCACCTTTCTGGTCGACTGTTGGGTGTCATGGTGAGGGGACGCGGCTACGGTGGTCGTTACCGTGGATACGTTTGTATGATAACTCTCCTTTCCTTCGGGCATTTCTCCATTCCCCTCCTCATCTGAGTTATCAGAGTGGAGGGGGTTGGTGAAACTAAGGGCAGTCCTAACAGGAGTGGAGGAGGAGGAGGAAGAGGAAGATGACGAAGAGAGGTGGGAAGAGGATGACGAAGATGGAGCGACTCTGTCTGAGGAAGAAGAGGAGGAGGAAGTCTTGGGGAAATGTTTTTCTGGACTGTTGCCGTGCTCCATCCACGCAGCATGACCAGATTTCAGCTCCACCATTTTCTCTTCGTATGCGTTCCCCTTCTCTTTGCTCTTCACTGGAAGGTGATTTGGTCTGGTTAGGACATCCCCATGCGTGTGACTCTCTCCACATCCACCCGCTCCTCCCTCGGTGCCCGAGTCCTCCGACAGCGAGGAGCTAGACGTCAGCTGGGTCTGACAGGAACGAGATTTGAAGGCGTGGCTTCTATGAAGCGTTGAACTACTGTTGGTTGAACTGTTGCCTAATCCACCTGGGGCCCCAACGGAAGAGGAGGTGTCGAAGCTGCGAGGTCCTTCCTGGAGCGGGACTTTTTTAATCTCAATGCTGAGTTTCCTCTCGATCCGAGGAGCACCAGAACATTCAACGGTCGAGGAGAGGGGCGATGAGGGAGTCTCACTTTGACCCGACTCTGACTGGGTTGACGTTGAAGACAATTTGTTGCTGTAGTTGTCATTGAGATCCAGATCTGAGACCTGAGTTTGCTGATTTTGGCTGAGTAGGTCTACATCGTTTTGCTCTGATGGGCTGGTTTGTTTGGTTAGACTGGGTTCTGACTGGTTCTGCTCCTGGTCCACATCTGCATTCTGAAATGGGATTAAAAAAACAAAGAGTGAACCCCAACTCTTGTATACAACAAGAAGTGTCACAGTTTCAACAGTTTCTGCTAATTTTTGCCAAATCAACAACTAATCACTTTCCTCATTAGACAGATTTATAATTAAAACATCTACTCACAACCTGTGTCGCGTTGCGCTGTGTAGAAGCCAGGACATGTATGACAGGTTTGGGATGGTAGCGGTCATTGTCCTGCCGTACATTGGTGACTGTGGGGAACGCTGAAGGGGGAGACGGTGTGAGGATCGGGGGGACAGGGTGAGCTTCAGGGGGCTGGATAATCTCTTCCTTAACATCACCTTCTGACTGGAAACTAGACGAGGAGAAAGAATGCACACTCAGGTGACGGCAAAAGCAGATAAACACTCTGAATCATTAATTCGTAATCTAAACAGTATATTTTACCACTAGAGGGCAGCACCTTACAGAGATGGCACTGTTGAGACTGTTTTTACATTATAGATCACATTTTGTAGATTAAAGTATTACATTACCTGTTGATGTTTAGCTAACTGAGAACTGACTGATGATCAGTTTAACTTCTTATTAAACAAGTCTACAAAGTCCAGTATGACAAATATGGGAGTTAAGTGTTTTCCATTAAACAGCATTCTTATGTCAAGAAGAGAATAAAAAGTTTTATTTCCCTTCAGATGATAAAGTGCATAAAACTAACCCTACAATCTACCCAGTGAAAATAAATCAACAATCATGTGTGCAGAGCAAAAAATATTAAATAAAACCCCACACAGAACAAGTAGTCAGAAATGGATCCAATCCACTAAATATGCATTTACATGCTGCATGTGTGTTAAGGTGAAAAGGCTGAAATAAGACAAAGGATGTGGTGGTGTGCTAATCCAAGACCACAGGGCTAAAACAATAAGGACTTCTCATGATGATGATGATGTGGATGAAAGGCAAACACAGCCAGCATACAAGCACCGGGGATTTCCTTTCCTTCACTATGCTAGAGTCAAACAATAAAAGCCTTCGTCATTAAGCACATGTGTTGCAGAACGACTGTTACTGGCTCATTCTTTGATAAAGCCTGTGATCTACTGTGTGTGCCCTCGTTTCAACATTTGGAAGAAGCATGTCCTAAAACCAAGTTCACTTGCTTTTTCAACACGTTTGCAATAGTCTCAAGTATAACTGAATGCCTTGTCGACCTCAGTGAGAAAACAGCTCCAACGATTCTGTTTCAGGAACTGAAGAATATTTGGAGTCTTACTGGATAACAGCAACGTGACTCTGCCACTGACTGTGTTTGCTTTGCAACGGTGATGTTTTATATCCACAAATAACACAGGCATGGAGGAGTTCTGCCATGTGGTGGAGTTGCTAATGCTAACAGTTTGCTTCGACTAGCCAAGACGTGTTCTGCTCTTTCCTGGATGATAAACCAACAACAGCCTTTCCCATTGTGAGCCAAGGTGGGCGAGTCCACGAATGTTAATTTTCAGTGAGATAGATCTGACTGGCTCTTCTAATCCGAGCAAGATCCTCTTTTTTCTATGACAGCTAACACAGGAAATAGAGCTCCGGGAGTTGACGTCACTTCTCCCGGCATGCAACAGTTCAAATCGAAACGGCGCCATATTGGCAGGCAGTAGCCCGCAGCTGGACATTTGTTATTGTCAGAAAACTCAAACAAACGGGAAATATGGTAGATTCCTGTTGTGCCCCAGGATGCAGAACAGACGTGGACGACATAATGAGCCATCTACAGGATTCCCCAAGATCCGGAGCGCCACAAACGTTGGATCATTGTAATAAAACGCGCTAGTGACCGGGCTAAAATGAAGCTGTGGGATCCCGAGAGTAAAGGTTTTCGCTTATGCAACGACCGCTTCATATCAGGTACTTAAACCAACGTTTCCTCAACTGTGTATGGTGTTTATTTTAAATGCTTTTATTACGATTCTTAGTGGGCTTCCTAAACTTATTTTGGCGTGGCTTTTTCTGTCTCATTACTCATAGCAACAAGTAAACGTGACGTAAAACGTTTACGTGTTTTAGGATCACAGCAATTAACCGGCTAAGCTGTATATAATTTTTAAGCAATGGTTGATCAATTGTCAGATCACACATAAAAAGCACTTTGGATTGCTACTATCTGTCTCACTGAGACAGATCTCAGACAGATCCTGAGATGCTCCTGCCTGACATATTTATTTTATTCACGGAAAAAAAATCAGACTAGTGATTTCTCTTGGCGTTCAGTTTATACTTTCAAACAGCACAGCACTCTATTTAAACTACTTACATGTAAATCTATGTTATTTGTCCATCCATTTTCATCAGCTTATCTGGAGTCGGGTTGCAGGGACAGTAGCCTAAGTCGAGAGGCCCAGACTTCCCTATCCCCAGCCACTTGGGCCAGCAACTCCGGAGGAATCCCAAGGGGTTCCCCGGCCAGGTCCAGTAAGAAGTCCGTTCCGACAGCTTCTGGCGTTTTTAAAAAGTATCCCAGGGGCACGGTAAGGGTCGGAGATGTTTAGTCTATTTAATTTCTGACTATATAAAACGATTTCTTCGGTTTTAAAGTGTGAAGTAAACTCAGACGGAGTAAAATCCAAGCCGATCTCGTTCATCTTGTTTACCTTTGTTGCCTGCCAACATGGCGTCTACTCTCTGAGAGTCGCGTGACGTCCGGAGCTCTATAGGGTAGAAGACTATTTTTCATGTTCAGCCTGCATGTGAAACTCAGAGTGACCCACCATATTTCAAACATGTAAAAAAACGTTTTACAGTGAACTTGGTCTTTAACATTTAGAATATGTTCTTAACTAGTTTGCTCTAATTCACATATGTCAGACACAAGGCCCGCGGGCAAGATGCGGCCCGCGGAGCATTTTTATGTGGCCCGCGAGATAAATATCAAAAATATATTAAAACTGGCCCGCTGGCCGATTTTACCACAAAGACTTCAACTCCCATGATGCTTTGCGGCGTCAGCGCGGAGCCGACGCGCCCCTCCTTTGTGTTTTTTCAGCGCCTGCTGCCGGGTGTCTGCAGCTCCGCTGTCTCGGACAAACTACACTCCTCTCAGCGCCGAGTTCACTCAGCTGTTTTCTGACGTTGAAGCCCAGAAACGGAGATTCTAGCCGCTCAGTAATGTGTTCACGACTGAAAGAGAAAGTTTTCCAACTAACGTCCAGACAGAGCTGATATAACTCCAGCGAACAGCGACACGCTCAAACCAGCACGGCTCTGTGGCTGCTGTCGTTGTGTTTCCTCCCCGACACACAACAACGTGGTCAAGCTGCTCAGACATGTTCATCAGCACAAACCTATGTGAGCACCTGTTGTCATCTAATGTTGTCATTATTATGATGAAGATGAACAAAACAACAGGAGTCTCCTCCTCAGCTCAGATCAACCCCATGATGCAGGTATCTGGCTGGAACAGGTGAGCATCACAGTAAACCAGTGGAGCAAACTGAGCTTTAAATATGTTGGTTTTCTGCTCCAAAACATGAAAGTTAACAGGTGAGATGTTGCATTTTCATTTAAGATAAAATGATATTTTTATTTTGTTGTTGGCCCGTGAGAAAAGATTTAACCTACAGTAAACAGGAAGTGGAAAGGCTGCAGATAGATGAATAGAATAGAAAATCCCTTTATTGTTCCTCAGTGGGGAAAGCTAGATGTCACAGCAGCGATGACACTTATTACAGGAGAAAAAAGGGAGAATAAAAAATAAGAAAAATGAATAAACAAGAAAACATAAATCCTGAATAGATTTATAAAATGCTGATTATAGCACAAGTAATGAATACCACTGATGCCTTTTATTTAAAACGGACTTGCTCGTGTGTAATTTGGTTATTCCACATTCAGTGTTAATGCAGAAATAAGTTTGTTTCCAAATTTAAAGGTTCAAAATTGCATATATGTTGATAAAGAAAATGTGCAAATTTGCCGTCACTTTTTCAAAAATATTAAGTTTGGCCCTCGACTCCGTCCCAGAGTTTCATTTCGGCCCCGTGTGAGTTTGAGTTTGACAACCCTGTTCTAATTGATAAACATTAGAATAATAACTTAACAACTTCTGTTAACAGTGATGAGGTGGTCACAGTAACAACATGGAGTAGGAGAGCACTGCTGTTTATACTGAGTTAGTTTGTGAAACAACCTCAACGTCCCACTGCCTCCCACAAGTCATTTAGTGGCAATTTGACACCCCCGGCCAAACATTATCCTTTTGTTTTCTTTAATGAAAACATAAGTTACCCATGAGAATTCCTTTTATATTATCTTTGTTGCCTGAACAAGCAGAAGATACATTTAACAACCACAGCGATGACTCCTGCTGGTGCTGATTGCTTCCATAGGGGTTGGGATATTAAGATGTGGCTCAGATTTATCAGGTCCTAGAAGATAACGTGATGAAACTTTAATTATTCCTTGGGGGAGGCTGGGCAAACACTAATAAGACACAAGGAAAAAGTGTTGTATGAACACTGAAAAAGAAGAAGTGGCTGCAGGCAAGGATCTGCACACAGACGGGTGTGTTCAGATGTAAATATGAATAACATAATAAAAGCAAAGTGAGAGAAAATTATTTTCACTGGATGCTCTGAGCATCAGACTGCTGAACAGGTTTTTTATTTAACTCTCAGAGGTTTCAAAAGTTCTATTTTTAAAAGGTAAATACTTTCTAAAATCATCACCGCCATGTTTGCAATTAAATGTTATGCCACATCATCTTAATTATTAAAGTCACTCAATAGTCTCTCATCTGGTCCACGTCTGCGCTCCTAAAGCCCGGTTCATTCATAATTATGACAATTTCAGAACCGACAATGTTAAGTTTGGGGCCGATTACCTAATGGCTCTAAAGATAATCTTATCAGATTCCCCTGCTGTGAGTGGTGTGTTAAGAGCACTCTGGTCTGTTCTGAATGACACTGACACAATACGAGCATAAATCGGGGGCATTAAACATGTTGGGTTGTCTTGGTCCAATTTGAAAGACAAACATTGTTCTTTTTGCATGTGACGTTTAGCCAATCAGAAAGTGAGGTGACGGAAGCACGCTGCATCTCCATTAAGTTTGCTTTCTCTGAAGTCACATTTGATCTCAAGAGGTTTACGAGATTTCCCATCTGACCGGGAATGTTTGTGTGTGAAATCAGATTGTGTGTAGTTTTTATCACGTTGCAACAAACTACACAATGTAGGACAATATCTATTATATCCTTGATTTTTTTAAATCTTTGTGTATGGGGTCCTCTCATGCTTTAAAAATTATCTGACAGACTTAAAATCCTGCTGTGTGAATCGGGCCTAAGAGAAGATGTTGCATCACAGTAGCTCCTGGTTGCTCTCATCCACTGAAGCAGAAATATTTTCCAGTTTCAGGCTGCGTTTAAAACAGATATGCAAAACCAAGGAAAGAGGAAAACAACCAAAGCCATGACTCAGTAGTAGTATCCAACCTCTCTGGATTTCCTTTTCATCTCCCTCCATCTTTCTCTCTCTAACCCCCCCCCCCCCCCCACCCCCCCACCCACACACACACACACACACACACACACACACACTACTGAAGTGACCTAAAGGGAGTGCGGCTGGCTGAAAGTGACTTATCTGGCTAAAAATAGCTCCCACTATCAACAGATTATTTTCTTGACTTAAACTGGGCCTTCACCTCTTTAGAGACAGAGAGATGACACAGAACAAAGGACACATACCGAGACGTCAGAGAAGGACAAATGGCAAAAGAGACAAGCAGATATTTCAGGGATTCTCCTCTGTCCCGTTTCCAGGAAAGTGAGCTATCTTGGCAGCATCTCAAATTTTAAATGTGTGTGTTTTATTAAGAGCAGAAAAGAAACTATGCAGTAAACAGAAGACTTGGAGCTCCAGTCTAAAATTAGGACCTCCAGAAAATGTTTCCTACCAAACCAGCTGGTAAAAAAAGAACTAAGGAAACCAGGAGCATGATCAGTTTAGTCCGGTTGGAAGGGAAGTTGCTGCTTAGTCTTTCATGATGTTCAGGAAATGTTTAGGTCAGATGTTCCTCAGAAATACCTCATCACAAGGTGTTTCCAAAGGAATGGGAAGGTGTGTGTGTGTTGTACTCAAACAGGACCTTAAAAGATTTAAGAGATTATTTTCTTTGTGATGCAGATATAATTTACAGTCTGAGCAGACCCAGATCTCACTATACAGTTGGGTATATCGATATGATACAGTTTGCAACAATCCCTGATTTTAAAAAACACCCTGAATAAATGTTATTTTTGAGCTCATCAGCTGGTGGGACCTGCCCTTTTTTCATATTTATTGTGAGTAGAAACACTTAAAGGTCATTTTTTTCCCCAATTTGCTGTGGTTTCTAGTAGAGGTGCCTGAAAAAAAATGTTCACATCAGAATTGCTATTTCTACTTATAAAGATTCAGAATCGATTAATAAAACTCAAGAATCAATCTGGTTGGAAAGCCTTTAAGTAAGCTAACATATTTCCGAGCGTCCCTGAACGCATCATTGCTGGAGCCAGTGCTAGCATTAGCTGCTTGTTCTGTGTGGTCCTGGGTTGCAGTCTGTTGAAATACAACAGTCTTACCTTTCTCATTACTCAGTGTTTTATGAGTCAAGATGTTCCATTATGTTTAATAATGTTTAAATGGTGTTATCCTATTTAGTTTATGTGAGGTTTCATGTCACAGCTATGCAAACTGTCGTATTGCCGAGCATTCCTGAACGCATCATTGCTCTGGCGTTAGCTGCCTGTGCTGCAATTTGCTGAAATACAGCAGAGAATGACCTTTATTATTGTCCCGTGTGTTTTATGAGTAAAAAAGTAAGTTCCATTATGTTTTATAATGTTTAAATGGTTTTAACATCCCCAGTTTCTAGTATGATTTAATGCCTTCTGTGCAATCCGGTTTCAGGGGCTAGACGTTTGTCAGAGGAGTTTCGATTGGAAATCAGCAGGATTCGGTTTCTTACTCATTATCATTCATGATACGCCAACATCTTGTCTGATTTTTCTGACCAAATCGTTTTTCCTTCCCTTTCCTTTCTGCTACTTAAGAAGCTTACAAGATAGCAAGACCAGATAAACAAACATTTCTCTACACGTTATTAAGTGATACGGTGTCTCCCGGCAACAAGACATTCCCAGCGACATTAAAGCATCAGAACTGAGGAAACTCTGAGGCGTCTCACAACCTTGTTTAAAGGTTGTGGAGAATATGTACTGCTGCATAAGAGGGGTGGGAGGGTTACTGTAGATAGGCTGTAAGAAGTGGAGCAGATCTCCTGCAGGGCTAGAGGAAAACATATGTGAAGGGAAGGGGGAGCAACGACAGAAAAACATAACTGTATTTATGTGTATACAAATTCATTCTATGAGATAATGTGTCCACATGAACATAAGAATAATATTTGTTCACAAAGATGGGAAAAAACTGAAATAATTCCCCTTTATATTGCTTTGGGTGCGTTCAACAATTTGTAGCGTGGCAAAATGATTTCCAAAAGCTTCTCCTCCTCAGGCAGCTAACAACCACACAGAAGTTCACTTTGGATGAAGACCGGGGGCTGAAACGGAGCAGCCACGCCAGAAACTCTGGTGGGAAAAACTCCTGCTGCTTTTGTTTGAGCAGCTTTGTGTTTTTACTACGTAAGCCAAACAAACCATTTTAAATGCTTGATTTTTTTAATAAAACACTATTTCTTCTATGTGCAGCAACACTTGACACTTCTCACCCTTGTAGAAACCTGCTACTTTATCTTTGGGGATGAGCATCGGTCAGTTTATAATACCTTATAATGATTATAATTCAGCAAACTTTCATTTGCAATGACGAGTTTGATGATCAAGTTTAACAGAATAACAGACTTAAAAATATTAACTAGACAAGGACAAGAAAGGATTTTACCAAACTGTCCAAGAAGAACAGATCTTACTTGCGTATGCGAGGAGGTTTTGGAGGCGGTGCGTCCCATCTCTCCTCATCAGACTGATGACTTGCTTTCTCTGGACTGCTTTCACTCTGGAGAAACACACAAATGATTTATGTTCTCATGGATGAAACAGCTTTTTCGGAGCCTGAGAGTTCCACATTTGGATTAAAGTTAGCAAACAAACTGCTCCATCAGCATGTTTTCATTTCTCCTGCAATTAGTCAAATGTGTCATGTAACCAAAGGTGAAAACAGCTAAAAATTATTTTGTGGTGTTTATGGAGTTTAGGTTTCTAGAGGTTGTTAGAAATAACTTCATTAAGAACAGGCTCAAAAATCACTGTTCTCTTTCTTCCTCCTTCTCTTCCACTGTGTCTCATTAATTTGACGCTCCCACCGGAGACGTTGACGAGCAAACTTTATTGGCTATAAACTCTTCACAAACTGGGCTACAGTTACGGTCTGAAACATCCCCAGTTGTTGGCACATTCAGGGGATTTGGTGTATAAACACAGCCCAGATAAGTAGTTAGTGTAGTATTACATGATGTTATTTGGTGGGAATGTAATTCTGCACAACGCGGAGTCCAAACGAGCACTTAAGTGAGCGTAGGACGGGCGTATGTGTAGGTTTATTGTTCGTACTGCCGTTAGAAGCACCTGTGTGGGTGTTGGATTCCTCAGCAATGGCTGACTGGACATGAGTCAATGTGTGTACGGACTGAGTCAGTATAGCTCCCTGATAATGATAAGCTGTGTGTGAGGCAACTCCACAGTTAAAATCAGCAGAAATAAACTACAGATGACATCACACCCTTTTACCGAATGTTTAATGACAAACTTTCACTCAACTTTCTGTCCCTATTTTAGAGAGACACAGATCAGGTTAAGGCTCAGCAGAGTATTTTCTTGTGTGATAAAAAGATTGATTGTGTCTCACTAAGGTCCTCCTTTCCCAGCGAATTCTCGTCTATTCTCAGAGTCAAAGTGCATTCAGAGCCTGGGGTGATGTCATCACGACTTCCTGCGCAGGAAGCTGGCTGGTTTGCTGCCAGCGAACTCCTCATGTCTGGGCTGTCAGTTTTTAAATGTGCTGATCTTCCTCCGCTCACATTTTATCACAATTTGTGTCTTTTTACCAGTTTACAAAACACTGTTTGGGTAATTCTGCAGTTTGTAACTCTGTTACTTTTATCCTAATGAGCCATCTGACTCAGTAGGAACATCTTTTTGTCCTTCTTGATTTATAATTACCAACAGATTTCCAGCAGCTGTGATAGATTCTAGCATACAACATGTGTTTAGTTCTTTAGAATTAAGAGTAGCAGTTGCAAGATTAGACATGAACTTAGACAGTAATGATTCAGATAAATGGTTTAAAAAGAAAGGAAGGGTTAAAAACTAACTGTGTTTACAACGTCTCTATTTTAACCAAACAGACATGGGAGTTTCAATTTGTTTCTGAATGAAGCACCAATAAGATAGGAGTCTATTAACCTAATAAAAGGAATTAAAAAAACAAACAAATATAAATTAATTCACCTTTTTTAAAACCTTAAAGTGACTATGTGTATTTCCCCTGGCGATAGGGGGCAGTATATATCTAAATCGTTGCAAGCAAGCAGTATTGTGTTAAGAGTAGGACCATACCAATGGATGGTCATAGGGAGCCTAGGTCACGCCCATCTACTTACGGACCATGGGTCACTGGAAGAACGAAAAAATTAATGTAAGTCAATGGGGTTAAAAACACTATTTTCTAAATTTCTTTGTTATGTGCCATGGATTTCACATATTATGTCTGAATTTTAAAGACAAATTTTTACACCAAGAAAGTGCTTATTTTCTACGGTGAGAAACGTTATTTTAGGTTTTGTGTGAAAATATGTCCAGGACTACAAAAGCGCTTAACCAAAGGGACATCATCGAACCAGACACGGAGAAAAACTGAGGGAAATAGCTGTAAGTTCAGTGAACTTCAAATCCTTCCTTCAGGAGTAAAGAACCACTATAAACCTGGTCATGTGGTAAGTAGCAGCTACGATAGGGTAGAGGTGATTCTGTGGTGAAGTCATATATGCGACTTACTGACGTCTGATTTGTAGTCAAGCTAATTACAAACTTTTACAAGCTGATAAATCTCAAGTACGTGACTGGCGTGGGTGAAAAACACATCATTACTTTTTGTTTAAATTGCAGGAGGTAGGAGGTAGAGCGGGTTGTCCAGTAATCTGAAGGTTGCAGGTTCAATCCCGGCTCCAACCAGAGAATTCTGCTGTTGTGTCCTTGGGCAAGACACTTAACCCACCTTGCCTGCTGGTGCTGGTCGGAGGGACCGGCGGCGCCAGCCTCGCCTCAGTCAGTGCGCCCCAGAGCAGCTATAGCTACATTGTAGCTCATGCCCACCAGCGTGTGAATGTGTGTGTGAATGGGTGAATGACTGATTGTGATGTGAAGCGCTTTGGGGGGTTGTAAAACCCTAAAAAGACGTTATGCAAATACAGGCCATTTACCATTTACCATATGTGTGATCCAAGGCGTAAGGCAAAGCGGATTAGAAAATAACTCTTTTAGCTCCATTGACTTAAATAAAATGTTTTCATTCTTCCAGGGACCCATGAGCCGACCGGAAAGGGAGGACACTTAGGCTCCCTATTAGGGTCAAAAATCCCTGGGAGCACAATTTTGGAATGAGTACTTTGTCAGATGGTTCAACCTCCAGCAAAATGACAAGCACATCAGATTCCATTTCATCGCTGGCAACGAACAAGGAGTTAAAAGTGTAAAACAACTTTTATGAATGGCGAAAGTTTTGTAACTGCTTGTTACAAATAAGTAAATAATTTTTGCCTTCACTGGCTCCTGTAGAAAGAAACCGCTCCCAAAAGATACTTTAAATGTACAATTTTGGAAAAAGCTGACCCACCCATTGTGAATGTCCTGTTTTTCATGATTGGATTCTGATCCATTCAATAAACTGACCACCAACCCTCACTCCCATCTCTGCTCATACCCACTATGTGCACTAATAATGTGTTTTCAGCTTGGAGCAGCTAAACAGGAAGGGAAGCCAGAGCCAGAACGGCTATATTAGCTAGCAGACTAAATTGTTACATAGCCTGTGCAGAAGTAGCAGAGGGGGTTCCGGTGTAAAATGTCCAGACCTCTTAGCTGGATCTCTGATCAGGGTCCCAGTGGTTTCTCTTTTAAACTTTCAGTAGGGCCAGAGTCCGAAGAATTCCTGAGCAGCACCAGAGGAGTCTGTCAGAAGCCTGGAGGCTCCGTAGGGATGTTATGAATAATGGCTAAAAAGGTGCTAATCATGGGTGGAAAGTTGAGACAACATTTAGTTTCTCTGGGCGTTTGACAGTATCCCTTGCATCTGGCGTTTTCTTGTATTCTGGAGGCATTGCTTAGGGGAGCCTGAAGATGATGGGTTGGACCTTTGAATTGTGCTTTTTCAAAATGCGACATCCTAGATCAGCTTTTTCCAGGAACACCGACCCTACCTTTAACTGACTATGGCTCTTTTCTTGTCTCAAAGTTATATTTTAATCCTACAGAGAATTTGCAGGAAGATAAAACAGATTATTCATGTTTTTATGGACGCTGGGAGGTAATGGAAGATTGTAAAAAGCAAACCAGAATGAGATCAGCCCTCAGACAGTAGAGTTCTCAGAAAGCTGACTCTCCCCTATTTCTCCCACTCTCTATCCTCTTGTGACTAATTATTTGTTTTGTTTTCCTTCAAGTGTTACTCAGCACCATCCCTCTTCTTTTAGCACCAAACAAAGTGCACAATGTTAACGTTTCATACCATGCCATCGTGTATCTGTGTGTTGGTGGGACTCTCCAGTTGCTGCAGCTGTTTTTCAAAAAGCTGAGCAATCGCTCTGTGAACCAACTCGTACTGCTCCTAGACAGAGAGGGAGACAAAAGCATGTTGAGATGGGAGGCAGAGGATGAAAAAGAGATGCAGAGAGGAGTTCCATGGGGAGGGGATAAGATAAAGGAGAAGAAGCAAAAGGGGATGAGAGTCAACAAAATCAACACCAGAATAAACACCATCTTCATGTCAGACAGAGATTTGTTGATGGAAAAGAATATTGTTATTCGTTTTAAACAATCATTTTTAGCCATTTTCAGAGTTTTTTGTTAAACAACAGACTAAATAATTATTTCTTCAAAATGAATGAACTAATTTAGATAAAAAACAAACTACTGTTTTCAGCTGACTAATGTAACTGAACCTTGGAGGATAACACCAAATTAATTGGTGAACATAAATGTTCTCCACACTCAGTCCAGTTAGTAGTCAACAACAAAACACACATAATAGAAAAACATCTACAACTAGTGAAAACAAACAAGAGAAGGAACGTGTGATGTAGGATGACGAGGATATTGGACATGATCCATGTTGGGCTGCTGAAAGGAGTCACCAGTAACTAGAGCTAGATTGGATAATATGAAGCCATAAAAGAGCAGCAATGAATGTTTAAAGGGGTTCTAGAACGTTTTTATTATTACAATTGGAAACTGTTGTTTGAGACTCTAAATAGCACATGGAACTTTGTTGGGGCTGAAAAAGGCCCACCTCAACTGGCTCCTCTCGATGTGGAGGAGCAGCAGGTCTACCCCGAGCCCCTCCCGAATGACCAAGCTTCTCACCCTATCTCTAAGGGAGAGCCCAGCCACTCTTTGGAGAAAACTCATTTCGGCCGCTTGTATCCGCAATCTCGTTCTTTTGGTCACTACCCAAAGCTCATGACCATAGGTGAGGGTAGGAATGTAGATCGACCGGTAAATCGAGAGCTTCGCCTTCTGACTCAGCGTGTCTTCACCACGACAGACCGGTACAACGCCCGCATCACTGCAGATGCAACACCAATACGCCTAGCGATCTCACGCTCCATCTTTCCCTCACTCATGAACAAGACCTCGAGATACTTTAACTCCTCCACTTGGGTCAGGACCTCATCCCTGACCCGGAGAAGGCATTCTACCCTTTTCCGAATCAAGACCATGGTCTCAGATTTAGAGGAGCTGATTCTCATCCCAGTTGCTTCACACTCGGCTGCGAACCGCTCCAGTGAAAGCTGAAGATCACGTTCTGATGAGGCCAACAGGACCACATCATCTGCAAAAAGCAGAGACCCGATCCTCAGGCCACCAAAACGGATGCCCTCCACACCTTGGCTGCGCCAAGAAATCCTGCCCATAAAGATTATGAACAGAATCGGTGAAAAAGGGCAGCCTTGGAGGAGTCCAACTCTCACTGGGAACGAGCCCGACTTACTGCCGGCAATGCGGACCAAGCTCTGACACCGGTCATAGAGGGACCTAACAGCCCGTTAGGGCCTGGTACACCATACTCCCGGAGTACCCCCCACAGGGCCCCCCGAGGGACGCGGTCAAACGCCTTCTCCAAATCCACGAAACACATGTAGACTGGTTGGGAAAATTCCCACACACCCTCCAGGATCCCCCTAAGGGTATAGAGCTGGTCCAATGTTCCACGGCCAGGGCGAAAACCACACTGCTCCTCCTGAATCTGAGGTTCAACAATTCCATGGACCCTCCTCTCCAGAACCCCTGAATAGACCTTACCAGGAAGGCTCAGGAGTGTGATCCCCTTGTAGTTGGAGCACACCCTGCGGCCCCCCTTTTTAAATAAGGGGACCACCACCCCAGTCTGCCAGTCCAGTGGGATTGCCCCCGATGTCCACGCGATATTGCAGAGCCGTGTCAGCTAACACAGCCCCACAACATCCAGAGTCTTAAGGAACTCCAGGCAGGTCTCATCCACCCCTGGAGCCTTGCCACAGAGGAGCTTTATAACCACCTCAGTGACCTCAGCACCAGAGATTTGAGAGGCCAAATCAAAGTCCCCAGACTCTGCTTCCTCACTGGAAGACGTGTCGTGGGATTGAGGAGGTCTTCGAAGTATTCTGCCCACCAATCCACAACGTCCTGAGTAGAGGTCAGCAGCACACCGTCCCCACTATAGATAGTGTTGGTAGCGCACTGCTTTCACCCCCGAGGTGCTGGATGGTGGACCAGAATCTCCTCGAAGCCGTATGGAAGTCTTGCTCCACGGTCTCACCGAACTCCTCCCATGCCCGGGTTTGTGCCTTGGCGACCACCCGAGCCGCATTCCGCTTGGACTGCCGGTACCCGTCAGCTGCCTCTGGAGTCCCACAGGCCAAAATGACCTGATAGGACTCTTTCTTCAGCTTGACAGCATCCCTAACCGCCGGTGTCCACCAGCGGGTTCGGGGGTTGCCACCATGACAGGCACAGACGATGCTGCGACCACAGCTCCGGTCGGCCGCCTCAACAATGGAGGCACGGAACAGGGTCTATTCAGACTCAATGTCCCCCGCCTCCCCCGGAACATTTTGGAAGTTCTGTCAGAGGTGGGAATTGATGCTCCTTCTGACAGGAGACTCTGCCAGATGTTCCCAGCAGACCCTCGCGATACATTTGGGCCTGCCTGGTCTGACCGGCATACTCCCCCACCATCTGAGCCATCTCACCACCAGATAGTGCTCAGTTGACAGCTCCGCCCCTCTCTTCACCCGCGTGTCCAAGACATGCGGCCACAGGTCAGATGAAACAACAACAAAGTTGATCACTGAGCTATGGCCTAAGCTATCCTGGTGCCAAGAGCACATATGGACACCTTTATGTCTGAACATTATGGACAATCCATGATTGGCACAGAAGTCCAATAACAAAACACCACTCGAATTCAGATCGGGGGGCCGTTCCTCCCAACCACACCTCTCCAGGTCTCAGTGTCATTGCCTACGTGAGCGTTAAAGACCCCCAGCAGAACGAGGGAGTCACCGGAAGGAACGCTTTCCAGCACCCCCTCCAGGGTCTCCAAAAAGGGTGAATAGTCTGAACTGTAGTTTGGTGCATAAGCACAGACCAGTCAGAACCTGTCCCCTCCACACTTAGGCGGAGGGAGGCTACTCTCTCATTCACTGGGGTAAACCCTAATGTACAGGCACCAAGATGGGGGGCAACTAGTATGCCCACCCCTGCTCGGCGCCTCTCAGTGGGAGCAACTCCAGAGTGGTAGAAAGTCCAACCCCTCTCAAGGAAACTGGTTCCAGAGCCAGAGCCATGCGTTGAGGTGAGTCCGACTATATCTAGTCGGAACCTCTCAACCTCACACACCAACTCAGGCTCCTTTCCTACCAGAGAGGTGACATTCCATGTGCCAAGAGCCAGCTTCTGTAGCCGAGGATCAGACCGCCAAGGTCCCCGCCCTCAACTACCACCCGTCACACACTGCACCCGACCCCTTTGGCCTCTCCCACAAGTTGTGAGCCCATGGGAAGGGGGACCCACGTTTTCTCTTCGGGCTGTGTCCGGCCGGGCTCCGTGGGTGAATGCCCGGCCACCAGGCGCTCGCCAACGTGCCCCACCTCCAGGCCTGGCTCCAGAGGGGGGCCCCGGTGACCCACGTCCGGGCAAGGGAACACGGTTTCCATTTATATAATTCATCATAAGAGGTCTTCGGGCTGCTCTTTGTCTGATCCCTCACCTAGGACTTGTTTGCCATGGGTGACCCTACCAGAGGCAGAAAGCCTCAGACAACTTTATATATATATATATATATATATATATATATATATATATATATATATATAACTACTTGTCTTAGAAACTGATATTAGAAAAAATGACCATTTGGTCGCATCATTAATGTGAGTCGGAAGCAGGTGAATTCATGTCTTAAACAAACCTTTGTTTGAACAGCAGAGTGCCGCTGCGTCCTCATTTCTTGGATCAACCGGAAAACATTGAAGTCTTCTGGAATTCTCTGTAAGAGTGGAGAAAATTTTGAACAGACATTAGATTCCTTGTTTGTGGAGAACATGAAGTATACAGGACGTGTAAGTGTTGCATACTCCAGCTTTGAGGAGGTTCCACGTGTAGTCAATAGCACAAATAGCACCTGTCCTCCCACAGCCAGCACTGTAGAGGACAGAAAGCACATTAAACACATCACCATGTAATTGTAAAGACAAATCTAAAAATATAAGCTACTTTTTTTTGTCACACATTTGGTTAAATGCAGGTATGTTTAAACAAAACAACGCCTCATTCAGACAGGAAGTAGACAGTAGCTGATCGTGCATGACGCATAAAATCATAAAACCTGATCTCACGCTGTCAAAGAGCTTTGTGGGACTCTAAAGCGCCTGGTTCCCCCCATCAGCCCACACAAAGCATCTTCACAAATACAAAGACATGGCTTTGAATCCTGCTGTGGAACATAGGAACCCGGAAACGTCCTCGGGCTGCTCATTATGGCTTATTACACACACATGGAGAGAAGTGTGTGTGTGTAAACACATGCATGTGTGAGAGCACAGAACCTACATCTACAACCTTCTAGTTGATTCTGTTTTGACTGATCACCTACAGTTTATTCTGTTGTTGACTTAAGACTTCTACGCTCTTCTTTTTTACAGGAGGTGTTTATATTTCAGCTCTAGGCGTGTAAAGACCTACCTGCAGTGCACACATATGGGAACATCGTCATTCTCCTGGTATTCTCTCATCAGCCCAATCATATCTAGTATGGAGTCAAATGATGACGGGACATCATGATCGGGCCAGTTGATGTAATGAAATTGAGTTATCCTCCGAGTTTCCTGCAGGGAAACAAAAACATTTAAAACTGAGAGCGAAGCGCTGGCTGGAAAGTAAAATTGGAAAAGTAAAACCAAACGTTTATACAGTAGTTTGCCAATATTACAGCAATGATAACTACATGAAAGTTAGCATTAGTGAAACAAATGGACAGCTTAAAAATAAAATCAATGTTATTCTATTTTTTCATACTAAATCAGATTTCTCCCTTTCATTTCAGAAATTACAAGTGACAGAGAGAAGTGACAAAGACTTTTCGGGCCGGGGAAGATGTGTAACAAACTCCAAGCATGCAACAACAGCCTTCCCCATCGTAAGTCGAGATGGGTAAGCCCATGAATGTTAAGTAACAGCGTGACATAGATCTGTCAGGATTTCCAAATCCTAGAGTTTCAGTCTATTTTCTATCAGAAGCTAATGCAGGAGATAGGTGTAGGTAGGGCTGGGACGATAATCAACAAATCAATTAATCGTTCGATAGATGAAAACAAACTCAATATTTTTCCTGCCTCAATATATCGAGGTTAAGAAATGAATAACTAAATGTAAAACTTTATCATTACTGAAGTGCAGTTTTGGTTGTTGACACTGGATAGGCCATTGTACTTATTGTTTTGGAGAGACAGGATCTATTATATTGTTCTTGGTGCAATATTTTCTAACAGAGAGTGAAAGTCCTTTTTTATTTATTTTTCATTTGTTTTATTTATTTATTTAGAAGTTCTGGTTCTGAACATTCCAATGGTAAATGAACGTTTAATTGTTGCATTTTAAAGGGTGAACTTGCATTATTATTATGATATATTAACATTACATAAGTGGTTATTTTGGTCTCGATAATGTTGACAATAATATTGTTTATCTCCAATAATTTGTTGGACAATATATCGTCCAGCAAAATTTGTTATCGTCCCAGGTCTAGGTGTAGGAGACTGATTTCATGTTCAGCCTGCATGAAAAACACAGAGCCACCCATTATAATCAGAAATAATCATAAAAAAAGGGTTTTCAGTGTTGCACACCTTTAATCTTATGGCTTGTTTTTGTGGGAAAACCATTCAGGAGGACCGCCTTACCCAAACAGTGGTGGGAAAAACCCTGTACGTAAGGAGGCATGCGGGCTGACCTGAACTAACAAAGCCCAAGGAGTGAAAAAAAAATCTAAATTTCCCCAAAATGTAATCTACATAAACAGCAAATCCAAATTAATCATTAAAATCGATTCATTAACCAGCTCTGAAGGAAACTGAAATATAACTTACGTTATTATACTGCACAATCAAAGTCCTGATAAAGTAGTCTGTTCTGGTCTGCTCTGATTCCTAGAAAACAAAGACAAGAAAACTGTCAATTTTCCACTGAAACAGTTTTCAGAACAAAATATGTGAGAAAAGCAGGAGTCCAACATCTCGTCCTCCATGCTCTCCTCTGTAATTTTACACATTAGTCTACTCACACAAGAGATTTGAAAAGGTCCGAAAGTCAGTGGCTCCTCGTCCAGCCTTGGAAAATACCGCTCACACTTTTTCTGAGCAGAAAATAAAAGAAGATGGCTTTGGCTCAGGGCAACACACCAAAAAGATGCCACAACTTCCTGCACACACTGAATTTGTGGTCTGGAATGCACATTTCAGAGCACCAGCAGTTACTATTCAAAGAGTGTATATATATATACACACACACACACACACACACGCACACACACACACACACACGTCAAAAAATATGCAAACATGAAATTTGTTTTAATTTATTGAATTTAATAGAACTAATTTGCACTCTGATGTTTTAGAAGGTAAAGTAGTTGATGCAAAAATATTAAATAGAAATATATGTACTTGATCGGATTTATGCTTTCTGCAGTCAACAGATCAACTTTTCACACTGCTGCTACTGCTTTTCTACACCGCAGTCATCGAGTCCATCCTCACCTCCTGAATCACCGTGTGGTATGCTGGAGCTACCACCAGGGAAAAGAAGAGGCTGCAGCGTATTGTACGCTCTGCTAAGAAGGTCATTGGCTGCAAACTCCCCTCCATACAGGACCTGTAGCCCTCCAGGTCATTGGGGCGTGCAGGTCGGATCACAGCTGACCCGTGTTACCCTGGACACAGTCGTTTTGACTCGCTCACATCTGGCAGGAGGCTCAGATCCATTCGGACCAGAACCTCTCACCACAAAAACAGTTTCTTCCCCTCTGCAGTCAGACTCATTAATGACAACCTAGGTCTGCCCACTACAGTCACATGACCCCAGTGTTGTGTTTGTCCCTGAACCGATTCGCTCTGATTAGTACCTATGCACTGTCTTGTATATAGCAGCCATTTCTCTAAGTATTGCCACTTTATATTATTATTTAATCATGATTATATTCTTACTTCCTATTTTTTCCTCATCTCTTATTTTTATCTTCCTTTTTTGCACCAAGTACCGCAGCAATTTCCTAATGTTGTGATTCTCGCACATAAGGCGACAAAACCATTCTGATTGTGATTTTCTTTATTTTCCTACCGCAATTTTCACTAAAATTAGGCCTGCACTGATTTCTGGCTACATATTTGTGTCAAAAGTCATTTTTTATTCTCATCTTCATCAAAACCACAGAAGCTTTTATAATGGCACTGTTCTTGTTTTACACTCCTTATTTTCTGGGAGCTCACCACGACTGGCAGGCAAGGACAAATATCCTTTGCCTGACTATGTGTTGGATTATTCACCTGGAAATGATTTGCAGTCTTTTTATCATTTCAGCTGAGTTCTCTTGTTGTTTGGTCATGTGCAACTGCTGGCTTTAAAGTCTCCAAGCATACTTTTGTACCTGCTGACTAAGGTTGCACAATGTTTAAGAAAACGATCAATATTGCAAAATTTGAGTGCACAACATCAATAACACAAAGAAATCTAATAAAGGAAAGTTTGCTAGAATATATATGTGAAAATTAAATTGGCCTCGAGTCTCCTAAATGCCCCTAGGGTTGCAACATGTTATATCCTCTTCGCAATGTTAGGCAATGGGGCAGCAGTTGCCTCATAATCGGAGGGCCATGGGCTCGATTCCAGCTCCCGCCAGAGGTATCCTGCTGTTGTGTCCTTGGGCAAGACACTTCACCCAACTTGCCTGTGTTAGTGGTGGTCAGAGGGGCCGACGACGCCAAATGGCAGCCTCGCCTCTGTCAGACCGCCCCAGGGCGGCTGTGGCTACAAAGTAGCTTACCATCACTAGCAGTGTGTGAATGTGAGAGTGCATGAAAGCGTCTCTGAGTGTCCTAAAATATGCTATTTTAGTGAGATGTATTATTATTATTATTATTAATGTTCAATGATAAATATTATATTACACATGCATAACGTCTCATCATCATGCAACTACTGCTGAGAAATTAGCATATTTAGCATGTTTTCATCTTACAGTGGTGTGAAAAACAATTTGCCCCCTTCCTGATTTCTTATTCTTTTGCATGTTTGCCACACAAAATGTTTCTGATCATCAGACACATTTAACCATTAGTCAAAGATAACACAAGTAAACACAAAATGCAGTTTTGAAATGATGGTGTTTATTATTTAGGGAGAGAACAAAATCCAAGCCTGCATTGCCCTGTGTGAAAAAGTAATCCCCCCCCCCCCTTGTTAAAAAATAACCCAACTGTGGTGTTTCACACCCGAGTTCAATTTCTGTAGCCACCCCCAAGCCTGATTACTGCCACACCTGTTTCAATCAAGAAATCACTTAAATATGAGCTGCCTGACACAGAGAAGTAGACCAAAAGCACCTCAAAAGCTAGACATCATGCCAAGATCCAAAGAAATTCAAGAACAAATGAGAACAAAAGTAATTGAGATCTATCAGTCTGGTAAAGGTTATAAAGCCATTTCTAAAGCTTTGGGACTCCAGCGAACCACAGTGAGAGCCATTATCCACAAAAGGCAACAACATGGAACAGTGGTGAACCTTCCCAGGAGTGAGCGGCTGACCAAAATTACCCCAAGAGTGCAGAGACAACTCATCCGAGAGGTCACAAAAGACCCCAGGACAACTTCTAAAGAACTGCAGGCCTCACTTGCCTCAACTAATGTCAGTGTTCACGACTCCACCATAAGAAAGAGACTGGGCAAAAAGGGCCTGCATGGCGGATTTCTAAGACGCAAACCACTGTTAAGCAAAAAGAACATTAGGGCTCGTCTCAATTTTGCTAAGAAACACCTCAATGATTGCCAAGACTTTTGGAAAAATACCTCGTGGACTGATGAGACAAAAGTTGAACTTTTTGGAAGGCAAACGTCCCGTTACATCTGGCGTAGAAGTAACACAGGATTTCAGACAAAGAACATCGTACCAACAGTAAAATATGGTGGTGGTAGTGTGATGGTCTGGGGTTGTTTTGCTGCTTCAGGAACTGGAAGGCTTGCTGTGATAAATGGAACCATGAATTCTACTGTCTACCAAAACATCCTGAAGGAGAATGTCCGGCCATCTGTTCGTCAACTAAAGCTGAAGCGATCTTGGGTGCTGCAGCAGGACAATGACCCAAAACACACCAGCAAATCCACCTCTGAATGGCTGAAGAACAACAAAATGAAGACTTCGGAGTGGCCTAGTCAAATTCCTGACCTGCATCCTATTGAGATGCTATGGCATGACCTTAAAAAGGCGGTTCATGCTAGAAAACCCTCAAATAAAGCTGAATTACAACAATTCTGCAAAGATGAGTGGGCCAAAATTCTTCCAGAGTGCTGTAAAAGACTCGTAGCAAGTTATCGCAAAACGATTGATTGCAGTTATTGCTGCTACGGGAGGCCCAACCAGTTATTAGGTTCAGGGGGCAATTACTTTTTCACACAGGGCAATGTAGGTTTGGATTTTGTTCCCTCCCTAAATAATAAACACCATCATTTCAAAACTGCATTTTGTGTTTACTTCAGAATCAGAATCAGAAGTTTTTATTGCCATATGTGTGCCAAGTCACAACATTAGGAAATTGCTGCAGTATTTTGGTGCAGAAGGTAAGATAGAAAAAAATAATAATAACAATTAATTAAGAGATAAGCAAATATAAGAACTAATAAAACACTCATGATAAAATTATTAATGTAAAAAGTGGCAAGAATTAGAGAAGCAGCTATCTACTCCGTGTAGGTATTTATCTGAGTGTTTGTTGAATGGTTCAAGCACAGCATCGGGTCACGTGACTGGGACCAATCAACTGGAGTGGGCTGCCCTAAGATGTTCATTCAAAAGTCCAACTGCAGAGGGGAAGAAACTGTTTTTGTGGCGAGAGGTTCTGGTCCGAATGGATCTGAGCCTTCTGCCAGATGGGAGCGAGTCGAAGAGACTGTGTCCAGGGTGAGACGAGTCAGCTATTATCCGACCTGCACGCCTCAATGTCCTAGAGGTGTACAGATCTTGAATGGAGGGGAGTTTGCAGCCAATGACCTTCTCTGCAGAGCGCACGACACGCTGCAGCCTCTTCTTGTCCCTGGTGGTAGCTCCAACGTACCACACGGTGATGGAGGAGGTGAGGATGGACTCGATGATAGCGGTGTAGAAATGCCTCATTGACTGTGGTGATAGGTTGAATTCAACTGCCTCAGGAAGTACATCCTCTGCTGGGCCTTTTTTCTGATGGTGGTGATGGTGGGCTCCCATTTGAGGTCCTGGGTGATGGTGGTGCCCAGGAGGCGACATGAGTCCACCATTGTGATGGGAGTGTCAGACAGGTTTAAGGGGGCGATGGGGTGTGTGGGTTTCCTAAAGTCCACAACAACCTCCGCTGTCTTCTGGGTGTTTAGCACCAGGTTGTTGTGGCTGCACCAGGACACCAGACGTTCAGCCTCCACTCTGTAAGCGGACTCATCCCCATTAGAGATGAGTCCGATGATGGTGGTGTCGTCAGCAAACTTAATTAGTTTGACAGACTCATGCTTGGAGGTGCAGCTGTTGGTGTACAGGGAGAAGAGCAGAGGGGAAAGAACACAGCCCTGTGGTGAGCCGGTGCTGATGGTCCGTAGGTCCGAGACATTCTTCCCCAGCCTGACTTGTTGTTTCCTGTCTGTCAGGAAGTCAGTGATCCACCTGCAGATGGGGTCAGGCACGTTCATCTGGGACATTTTGTCTTGGAGGAGGTCTGGCAGGATTGTGTTGAATGCAGAGCTGAAGTCCACGAACAATATCCTGGCGTAGGTACCTGGGGAGTCCAGATGCTGCAGGATGAATTGTAGAGCCATGTTGATTGCGTCATCTACAGACCTGTTTGCTCTGTATGCAAACTGCAGAGGGTCCAGGAGGGGGGGCTGTGAGGGTCTTGATGTGGGGGAGAACTAGGTGCTCAAATGACTTCATGACCACAGATGTCAGAGCCACAGGTCTGTAGTCATTTAGTCCACTGATTCTTGGTTTCTTGGGGACAGGGACTATGGTGGAGATCTTGAAGCAGGCAGGCACATGAGATGCCTCCAGTGAGGAGTTGAAGATGCTCGTAAATACTTGTGGAATCTTTGACTAATGGTTAAATGCATTTGATGATCAGAAACATTTTGTGTGACAAACACGCAAAAGAATAAGAAATCAGGAAGGGGACAAATAGTTTTTCACACCACTGTATAAGGTGCTGCCTTGATTCCACATTCCTGATCTGAAAAACAACTTCACTCTTCAGGAAGCCAAAGCATTTTTGCATTTAATATCTGTGTTTATCTGAGTGGTAATTCCTCATGAAACAAGTCAGTTATACTTAATTTTAGTTCCAGTAGCTAATGCAAACATGAATTAACTGAAATTAGCTCAAGTATGAGGGAAACAGTACTGCTTTTGCATGGCAGAAAGAAAACAAAGAAATATCAGAAGTGTTCTCATGAACCACCCTCAACATAACTATCAATGATGAATAGAAGAGAAATTTATTAATAGATGTTTTAGGAGCTAGTACCATGAGCTGCAGCCATGGTAGAAATATCAGAAAACATTTTTTGCTAAAAATGAGAAGCAACAATCTTACCCTTCCCATTTCGAATTCTCGACAAGCCATAACAATAACCTGTAGAGACAGAAAAGCAGAAAGAAATATGACCAAACCGGACAAAAACTAACCTTACTTAAAACAAAAATCTGTTTATTTGGCTAACGCTAAAATTCCATGTATTTGATATAGAGAGCCTAAGAAAAATGTTTAAATCTTATTTAATAATAATAATACATTTTATTTAAAAAGCGCCTTTCTGAACACTCAAGGACACTTTACAGAGATAAAATACACAACAATAAAAGATAAAACAGCATAAAACAAACAGACAGATTGGAGCAACGAGAGTAACTATTGGAATGCTAGACGGAACAGGTGAGTTTTGAGTCTGGTTTTAAAGAGAGTGAGGGAATCAATGTTACGGAGGTCAGGAGGAAGTGAGTTCCAGAGCTGGGGAGCAGAGCGGCTGAAGGCTCTGCTCCCCATAGTGACCAGACGGAAAGGTGGGACTGAGAGGTGGATGGAGGAGGAGGACCTGAGGGAACGGGTGGAGGATGAAGGATGAAGGAGGTCTGAGAGGTACGGTGGAGCTAGGTTATGGATGGCTTTGAATGTATATAGCAGAATTTTGAATTGGATTCTGGAAGTGACAGGGAGCCAGTGGAGCTGCTGAAGGACAGGGGTGATGTGGTGGAAGGAGGGAGTTCTGGAAATGATGCGGGCTGCCGAGTTCTGGATAAGTTGGAGTTTATGGAGGGTTTTGTGAGGAAGACCGAAGAGAAGAGCGTTGCAGTAGTCAGTACGGGAAGTGATGAGGCTGTGGACAAGAATGGCGACCGAGTGAGTAGTGAGGGAGGGGCGTAGGCGGTTAATGTTACGTAGATGGAAGTAGGCAGACCGAGTAATATTGTTTATGTGGGACTGGAAGGATAGTGAGGAGTCGAGGATGACACCCAGACTTTTGACCTGAGGGGAGGGGGAAACTAAGGAGTTGTCGACGGGAAGTGTAAAGCTGTGGATTTTGGATAGTAAAGATTTAGTGCCGACAAGTAACATTTCTGTTTTATCACTGTTGAGTTTGAGAAAGTTTGATGTGAACCAGTCTTTGATTTCAGATAAACAATTGGTGAGGGAGGAAGGAGGAAGTGAAGAGGAGGGTTTGGAGGATACATAGAGCTGGGTGTCATCCGCGTAACAATGAAAATGGATGTCAAATTTAGGGAAAATATTTCCCAGGGGAAGAAGGTAAGTGATGAAAAGGAGTGGACCGAGAACAGAGCCTTGGGGGACGCCAGTAGTGACAGGGAAGGGACGGGAAGTGAAGGATTTTAATTGAATAAACTGAGTACGGCCAGAGAGATATGAACGGAACCAATCAAGCGGGGTATGAGAAATGCCAAGGGAAGACAATCTATGGAGGAGGATGGTGTGAGAGATGGTATCGAAGGCTGAACTCAAGTCGAGGAGGATGAGAATGGAGAGCAGTCCAGTATCGGCAGCAGTGAGGAGGTCATTAATGATTTTTATGAGTGTAGTTTCTGTACTGTGGCCAGGACGAAAGCCAGACTGGAAGGGCTCATAGAGGCTATTGAGCGTGAGATGAGCATGGAGTTGAGCAGAGATTATTTTTTCAAGGATTTTTGAAAGAAAGGGAAGATTTGAGATGGGACGAAGATTATTGAAATTATTGGGATCGGTGCCGGGTTTCTTTAATATTGGAGTAATAGATGCAGTTTTGAAAAGTGAGGGAACAATACCGGTAGAGAGGGAGGAGTGGATTATGGCGGTTATGAGAGGGAGAAGGGAGGTGAGACATGTTTTAACCAAAACTGTAGGGAGGGGGTCGAGAGAGCAGGTGGTGGGCTTGGATTTACAGATAATATCAGATATTTCGGATGAGGTGGGAAGAAGAAAGGAACAAAATGACTGGCCGGGTGAAAAAATCTCAGGGGGAGGGGAAGAACTTGGAATTAATTGCTGGTGTATGGAAGCAATTTTCTGAATAAAGAAGGTTAATAAAGAGTTACATGAGTCAGCAGAATACAGGTGTGGGGGGGGGGGGGGGTAGAGAGTCCGGGGGATGAAAAATATTGCGCATTATTGAGAACAGAGTCCTAGAGTTGCCTTCATTGGAGGAAACCAATCCAGAGTAGAAAGCAGATTTTGTATGTTTAATTGAGTCCAAGTATTGAAGCAGATGAGTTTTGTGCATTTCTTTGGGTACTGCAAGACCAGTTCGTTTATAGAGGCGTTCGAGTTGACGTCCTTTGGCTTTCATCTGTCGGAGTTCAGGGGTAAACCAGGGGGCAGAGTTAGTAAAGGAGACGGACAGAGTTTTGACAGAGGCAAGAAAATCCAAGATATTGTGGAGTGTGGAGTTATAATGAGAAACAAGATGGTCAGGAGAAGCAGAACTAGGGATGGATATAGTGTTAATAATAGATGACAGGGTGTCTGGGTTAATGTTTTTGATATTGCGGAATGAGATGTGACGGATAGGCTTAGTTCTTAAAGAGCAGAGGGGGATGTTGAATGACAGAAAAAAGTGATTCTGATTATAATTAGTCACGCTTGAGTTTTGTGAAATGTGAAATTGTGAAAGTCTAGGATTTGAAAAGTCTGAAGGATCTATGTCACACTGTCACTTAACATTCATGGACTCACCCATCGTGACGGGGAAGGCTGTTTTTGGTTTTGCGCCCAGGAAACAGCAGAGAACGTCTCGGCTAGTACAACCTCCCAGTTAGCATTAGCAACTCCACCACATAGCAGAAACGCTCCAAGCATGTTTTATTTGTGGATATAAAACATCAACGTTGCAGAGCAAATGGAGCCGGGGGATAGGGTTACGCTGCTGTTATCCAATCAGAAGCGAGATGTCCAAATATCAGAGAATAAGACTTCAGATCCGGTCGTCTGAAGCTCAGCTCTGAAGTGGCTCAGTCTACTTCCTGAAAATGGTGCAGTAGGAGACCCATAGACCAAAATAGATTGGTGTGACTTAGGCTCCCTGTAGCTCCATTTACAGTTTTACAACCCCCCAAGGTGCTTTACAACATAATCATTTACCCATTCACACGCTGATGGTGATAGCGACATCCTAGCCACTGCTAACCTGGGGCTCACTGACAGCCGACGCTGCCGTACACAGGCCCCACCGGTCCCTCCAACCACCACCAGCAGGCAAAGTGGGTGAAGTGGTGTGTTGCCCAAGGACACAACGACTGTGACTGGGCGGGACTCAAACCTGTAACCCTCCAGTTACGGGATGGGCACTTAACTCCTCTGCCACCATCACCACGTTTTTCTTTTCAAGCGATTCCAAAAAACTCGCAGAACTTTTCTTTTTCTATGTAATAATTATAAACGTAACTGTGTGTGTTACCAGCGTAGGTAGCTCTAACAGCACTCCCATTAATCTGTGCTATTAGCCAACTCTGCAATGAAACGAAATCTGACAGCTAAAAACAGACTTATCAATAAAACACCTTCATTGTAATTAACAGTGTTATATTCATGAACTATTTCCCAATAGATGTCAACTAGACTGTGTTGCATGGGGTCGTACTCACAGCTACGTTATACTCCCAGTTCATTCTCCAAAAGTCGAGGACCGTGTTTGGCAGCGGACCCTGAGTTGCAATGTAGGCATTTGGGCCATCCACACCCTGAACGCAACGACAAAAAGCACTGTGACTGTTTTAAACTAGACATTTCAACATAATCGTGTACTTTACAAAAATTGAGAGAAAAAAACATATAATTTGATTGTTACCTTAATAAAGTTTGCATTTATGTAATCTGAGTCCTGATTGGTTAATTTTAATGTCAGCTTCACCCTGCTGTGGTCAACTGTGGAGAGAAAAACACAAAATTAATATCAGAATGAGATAAATGGGGAAACACAGAATGAGAGAATGTTAAAAGAGCAAACAGGGACATGATGATTGACTCAAGAGTTTAACGGAGAAACTGTTTTATCCTCATTCCTGGTCCATCTGTTATGGATGAGCCTGCTCCTACTTTTGATTTATCAGCCCATTCACTAAAAGCTTTAACGAATGAATGGATGGAAAGTGGAGAAAAGGATAGACATAAAACTAGGACAGATGTTGGGTCACATGAACATCCCCGAGGTTGTTGCGTACAGCAGAAACACAACACCGTGTTTATTCTGTTAACATTTACACAAACACAAATGATTAATGTATGAATTTGCAGTTATTTTTTCTCATCGTCCTCAAAATGTCAGGCCTCTTTCCACTTTTAGCTTTAATACCCCCCTACACCACCTTGTTTTTTTTACAGTGTAGGTGCTGATATCACTTTAGATTAAACGTGGATTTGTGGAGTCAGGCAGTGACCTTTAAAGCTGAGCGGATAAATGCATGAAATTTTAAAGCTGCTACACTTGCAGGACACAAGGCTGAATGGAGATTAAATTGTGAAGCACTGCTCAGATCAAACCTGTGTACAAAATGTTACCGTCATCTAAAGACATGTGAGCAAAGGGAAAGATAAAAAGTCAAATAAAGCACAGCCTGCTGACACAACACCCAATGCACACAGCATGTTTGCTGCTGGAGGATCAGTCTGAAATGCAGACTGATGAGATTAACAGAAATGATTTAAGAGCTTCAGTGGCGATGAACCAGATCTTACACGGCAGTATGTCTTTATATCTGTTCTTCTTGACATTCTCCTCCCTCTCTCCCACGTTGGTGGGGTAGATCTTCTCTGTCCGGTACTTGGTTGATAGCCGTCGTAACCGCTAAAAAACAAAACAAAAACATGTGGGGAGTTATTAGCAGATAATAACATCTGTTTGCATGTGTCAACACACAGCAGGGAAAACGCAAATGGTGGAACGGATTTGTGCATTCATTTTTCTTAGAAGTCAAAAGAATCAGACAACTCGGAAAAGAACAGACTCAACTTGTCAGACGAGTCCATTTATCAGCATCAAACTCTGCCACCTCTGATTAGTATCAGAGACCTTCTCCTCTTTAGTTAGGTTAAATAACAGATGAATAAAATCAGTCATTTCTTCATCAAAAACGCAACAAACACGAGTCCAAGAAAACAAATGCTACTGATATCAAGGTATCGCTGACTCACAGACACACTCCTTTGATGTGTGACGCAGCCTAAAGTCTAGTGCAGCCAAATCTAATAGAGGCTGACACTGATGAAGACACATTCACTTAATGGGAGGAGAACAATTACATTGTCTCTTGGCTGACAGGAGGCAAAAGCTTAGCTGGCTGTTCTCAAACACAGCAGAGCTCAACCAGGCAGAGCACTTACATTTCCAATCAATCCATTTACTTACAAAGGTCCTTATTAATTATAAATGTGATTAAACTACTTTAGGTCAGGGGTCACGTTCAATTTTTGGCACAACTGCAAACAAACATTCACTCGAATGTTATGCAAATGTTCTTGTTACAGTCAGAGCGTTAATTATGCCTCACCCTTCATTTATTTGCCATCTGAACGACTCTCAGTTTCCTGATTTGTGAAAACCAGATAAAGAAAGGCCAGAGAGAACATCACGGTCGCTTCTGTACAATTTAAAATTCTCAAAGGAGTGGATTACTCGTTTAATCAATGTGTTTGCAGTGGTCTCTAGTAGGGATGAATGCCTTGTAAGTCATTCTTGGGGGGTAAACATATACTGGTGCACCATTTCTCTGACCTAAAAGTTGTCCACGCTACAGCTGAGCTTTAGACGGCAGATTTCGGAGTCTTGTTTCCTGATATTTGGGCATTTCACCCCGGACTGGATAACAGCTACGCGACTACACCACTGAATTGTGACATGGAAATTTTATCTCTACCAATAACACAAGCTTGAAGGTGCTTCGGCTTTATGGTTGTGTTGCTAATGCTAACGGCTAGCTTAACTAGCTGAGACTGATTTGTGCATTCTAATGCCGTTTCCAACAAGAACCTTCTCCGTCGTGAGTCAAGATCGGTGAGTCCCTGAACGTTAATTCAGTGTGATGTGAGGAAATCTATAAGGCTTTTCAAATCCTGGAGTTCCGTCAGGTATTTTCTATCAGAAGCTAATGCAGGAGATCGCTGTAGGAGACCATTTTCATGTTCAACCTGCATGAAAAACTAAATTATAATCAGAAAAAAATTTTTCAGTCAACCAGACCTTTAATTATTTTATTGCATTTCACAAGCTATTTTAACCTTATGTATTTTATACCTAAATTATTGGTATTCAATGCGGGGGAAGCCATTAAGAAGAAAAAGAAAGGATATTTTTTATTTTTATTTCACTTTATAGAGAAACACTTTTCCTGCATATATGACGATACAGCTTTGAATCTTGAAACACCATCGACACAAGAGCGAGGCCCTGCCACTCGCACATGAAAATAAAAGACCCTGGTGAATGTTAGTGAGAAACCAACTTAATGAGCAACTGAGTGACCTAAAACCAAGGTTCTCAATGTTTAACGCCTAGCTACATCACAACAATAATAACTCACTAATCTAAATATGAGTTGTAAAATCTACTAATCTTGGTGAATAGAAAAATCATGGCAAACATATTTTATCACCTTATTTGCAGCAACGATTCTCAATTTAGGTGTAATAGTTTAAGTTTGTCCCACAATTCTTCATGATTTACAAAGTTTAATAACTCCAATATTTCAGAAAATCAAGGCAAGTGAGGACGTTGCAGCCAGCCATGTGGTGTGACGTTTAACACCGTCGCTGCCATCCTGAGGGTCCCAGTAAAACCTTTACAGACTTCTATCTGAAAACTTTTTAAATCCATAAAAACTAATTCATGCTTCTAAGCTCTGATAGCATGGTATCACTATCAGGGGCCTTTCTGTGCTTTCTGAAACAGCTTGGACATCACGCATATATTCTCTTTTACTCCTACCCATAGTTACAGAGTCTGAGAAAGTTGGCGTGGGCGTTCGGGCCTCTGAGGCCTTGCGTGAAAAGTAGCCCCACCTCTTGTGATTGGCTCAAGCAGCGGCAGGCTTTCCTCTCCTTACTGCAGCATGGACAGCACATCCGGGTTTCCTGAGCTTCTCACGCCAAAGACCCTACTTCCTGTTCTTATTTCATCTTTGCAACACAACTCCCCAACTGCTCTGAATACAATTATTAGATATTTAAAATCCTTAAATCACCAAACTTTGTTGCAAATCTATGCTCATGGCGCTCTACTGAAACAAGAACACAGTTTGGTGTAGCAGGAGAGAAGTGCCCTTAAAACATAACTATCTCTGCAAACCACAATAAAAGACTATCGTGATCAGAGGGAGAGGAAGCAAAGGGAAAGAGTCGGGCCGTGGGCGGCGACGCAGCTGTGCATGTGTGTTCATTTATGTCAGTGTGTGTGGTAATAGCATTACTTTTCCTCTGGTCTCATGTGAATTACATTTACAACAGAGGTCTGCTTCTGTGCTGGGCTGCAGCCCGGGAAGAAACACGGACAGAAAAAGATTCACACACACACACACACACACACAAAAAAAAAAAAAAAAACTGGAAGTCAGACTGTAGGGATGATAAATAGCTTCCCTTGTAGAACAGTTCACGTCCTTTACAGCAAACCGTGAAAAAAAGTCAATCTCTATTGTAAAAACTCTAAATGATGACATTTTCGTTCTTGATCAGAATCAGAAGGGTTTTATTGCCATATGTGCGAGAAATCACAACATTAGGAAATTGCTGCAGTACTTGGTGCAAAAAAGAAAGACAAAAAGAGATAAGCAAATATAGGAAGTAAGAATGTAATTATGATAAATTAATAGTATAGAGTAGCAATTTAGAGAAACGGCACGACAGTGCAGGTACGGATTAGTTCAGGTGCAAACACAACACGATCATCTGACAGGAAACAAGCCACTGAAGTGACCAGTCCTAGGATTGTCATTCATGAGTCCAACTGCAAAGGGGAAGAAACTGTTCTTGTGGTGAGAGGTTCTGGTCCAAATAGATCTGAGCCTCTTGCCAGATGGGAGCGAGTCTAAAAGATTGTGTCCAGGGTGAGATGGGTCAGCTGTGATCGGACCTGTACGCCTCAGTGTCCGGGAGGGGAGTTTGCAGCCAATGTCCTTCTCAGCAGGGTGTACAACACGCTGCAGCTTCTTCTTGTTCCTGGTGGTAGCTCCAGCGTACCACACGGTGATTGAAGAGGTGATGATGGACTCGATGACTGCGGTGTAGAACTGCCTCATCGACTATACTGGTAGGTAGAATTACTTCAGCTGCCTCAGGAAGTACTTCTTCTGCTGGGCCTCTTTTATGATGGAGGTGATGGTGGGCTCCCACTTGAGGTCCTGGGTGATGGTGGTGCCCAGGACGCAAAATGAGTCCACCATCATGATGGGAGTGTCGGGGTGACAGGGTTATTGGGGGGAGTGGGGCTGTGTGCTTCCTCAAGTCCACAACAACCTCCGTTGTCTCCTGGGTGTTTAGCACCAGGTTGTTGTGGCTGCACAAGGACACCAGCCGTTCGACCTCCATTCCGTAGGCTGACTCATTCCCATCAGAGATGAGTCCAACAATGGCCGTATCGTCTGCAAACTCGAGTAGCTTTAATCCCCTTATACGCACCATAACATCCACGGGTTACGTTTGGTAAATGGCATGTATTTAATATAGAGCCTTCTAGAGTCCTGGAACCCCCCAAGGCGCTTTACAACACAATCAGTCATTCACCCATTCACACATGCACACTCTGGTGGTGATGAGCTACGGTGTAGCCACAGCTGCCCTGTGGCACACTGACAGAGGCGAGGCTGACGAGCACTGGCACCACTGGTTCCGCCGACCACCACCAGCAGGCAAGGGGGGTCAAGTGTCAACGATAGCGACAAACTGAGCGGGGCTCAAATCTGCAACCTTCTGAACAACGGGGCGAGCACTTAACTCCTGTGCCACCGTCACCCCAATTTCTTCTAAACTTGTTAATTAATACAATAAATATAAAAATGAAAGATTTCACAAATGACAAATTGTTGATATTATTAGTTACATTTGATGTGGTTGGTGAGTTTTATTCTGCTAAATTATGACATAACATTTATTTTAAGTAAGTTAACATGAGTCCAGAGGGTCCTCTTTTATTACCAGACTTAGTGTGATACACACTTAAGACCAGCAGGGCACAAAATGACATTAATCCTTCAAAGTATCCTTGAAAAAGCAATTGATGAAGCCATGGAGGCAATAAACTTTCTGGAAAATATGACTTTCTGACAGAGTGAGTTTAAGTTTGTGTTCAAGCTGGAAAATAAACCTGTTTTTTAAATTTAAATCGTTTAAATCATTTTAATCATGTCTGGTTTTAGTTGTTTAGCTTAAAGCAACATCTGCAGTAATCAATCACTTGCTTCTGAAAAATCTGTGTGTTTATGGAGGATGTCACTAATTAAGCTTGGCAAATAATAAAAGAATAAAAACATCTTTAAAATGGTTCCAATCATAACATCAGTGGTGTCTGTGAATCAAGTTAGTCTGGAAACATTTATTTAAAAAGTTTAAGATTCTGGATTCACATATTTTCAAACAAAAATATAAAAATCTGATTGACTGTGGAGATTTTTCTTTAGTATCGATACTGAGTTTGAATTTTTAGTATTGTGGCAAAAGTAGCGGACTGAAGCACAAGTTGAAGGAGAGCTGCAAGAAAAGATGAGTGGAGTAAAAAAGAGATGAAGGCTGTGGAGAAGAGTGGATATGTTTTAAAAGACTCTTTCATTCATCACAGCCGTGTCTTGTTCACACACA